CTTCAAACTAATTACAATGTGTGTGATGTCTTAATACTGATTACATTCTTCCACTAGGGCATACACATCATAACTAGATGTAACCATATGAAACTTATGCGAACATTCTTTAATGGCCAAGAGATTAAACCAACAACAACCCTAAGAATAAGCTTATGTCGAATAAGAATATATATGTAGAATTAAAGACACACATGCTCAATTCCAATCAAACATGGTATCCAGAATTACATACACAAAATCCTTTTTCTCATGAAACTAACAAGACATGAACAAATCAATGTATCATGTGCACCATATATGTGAACTGTAAGCCCATCAATATATTAGGTCCAGTTTATGATTCTAAACTAAAGCCTTTAACAGTTACATCACTTGTCTCAATAATCAAACAACACATATTACTATAAACCAAAATAGACAAGAAGCTTTACTGTAAAAACTGCATCAAATCAATGGAAAACTAAACCAACTAAGCCAGTAATGAACTTTAAGCAGTTAAACAAACTATAAATCACTACTCAATGCATATCTATATATAAAAAAAAATTCTAAAACTAAATGCTCCCAAAAATCAAGTGCTGTCAAATAAATTACATACCTTTATGTGAATATCATTCAATGATAAATGGATAAAACTTTATTCATAAACTACAATGCTAGCAATTGCAATATTATTTATTACACCCTTTCTTTTTTCATTTCTTTTTTATACGGAAAACGGAAAATTACAAGCAAAAACCACGAGGACACGCAGGCCCCAACAAGTCAAAAACCCTGCCTCTCATAACTTGGAGGGATTTAGCCCATGACTCGAGCTAGCAACAGCATCAGCCGTGAAATTAGCCTCACGGAAAACATGACTAAAAGAGCATGAATCACAAAAGGAGCTGATAAGCACTATATCTTTAATCAAGAGGTTGATACTTCACTGGGCCAAGGCTTTCTGATTAACGCAGTCAATAATAAGTTTAGAATCTCCTTCAACAAGAACTTTGTGCCATCCTCTATGAGCCACATAAGCGAGGCTATCTCGCAAGGCAATACATTATGCCATATAAATGGTATTGTCACCTATGTTTTTAGCACCAACCAGTAAAATATGATCATCAGAATCTCGAATAACAAATCCAGTAGCCGCTGAGCCATTATGGACAGAACCATCAAAATTCAATTTGACCCATCCACTTTTTTTTTGGGGGGGGGGGGGGGGGGGGGGGTGGTGGTGTGAGGGGAGGGGGGCGCGGGTTTCCATTTAATATGAAGAGGTGTTTTAGGCCCCTCCGCATTCTTGCAATTTTGGTGCCAATAGTCGAAACCAACCTGCCCAGCCACAGTAAGCACACGAACAGGATGTGGGTTGATGTCTTTGAAAATCAGATAATTCCTCATTTCCCAGATCTGCCACATAACAACAGAGCTTTGGATAGAATGTCAAGGCCTCTAGAGGTAGAAGTAGAAGGTAGCATACCCAACCAGGTGATAAAGTCAAAATTTGGAGAAGAGATTGCAGGGTCCAGGCTAGTACAACTTCAAACACTTTGAGGAAAGGGACAAGTTGAGAATAGGTGAGTAATGGTTTCCCTGTGAGTATTGCATAGGGGACACTTAGGATTAGTCTAGGGAAAGAAGCGATGTAAGTAGTTTCGGACTTGAAGTCTTTTCCTGATAAGTAACCAAGAGAAAATTTTGACTTTTGGGGGAACAATGAGGGCCCACATTTTCTTTAAAAAGCTGCTTGAGTTGATAAGAAGCATCCTGCACTTGCACATTATAAGCACTTTTTATAGAAAAAATTCCATTAGGGTTAGGACCCCAAATTAATTGATCTTCTAGAGGGGTTAAAGGAAGAGGGATAGAGATAATTTTGTCTATGATATCCTCATCAACAACTTCGTGGAGCTTACTTGTATTCCACTGTTGATCAGTTAAAAAACAGCAACAACTAAATTAAGATTAAGAGAGTTTGTTGGGTCATAGGAATCAGATCAATGAGGGGGAAACGAAAATCCAATGGGCAATCCAAAAAGGAATGGACTTACCATTTCCCACTATCCACTTGATTCGCATGTTAAGAACATTTCTTGCATCTAAAATTGCTTGCCACGTTGAGGAATGAGAGGATTTCTTTTTTAGAGCTAAAAAATTTTCTTTTTGTAAATTATTTCTTTTGACAATTTGAGCCCACCATTAGAGGTATTGGTAAGACAGATCCAACCAAGTTTAGTTTGAGCAGCTTTATTAAAATGGGATGCCAACCTCACTCCAAGACCTCCCATTTCTTTAGGGGTGGAGATCTCTTTCCAAGAAACAGGAGGAATTTTTGTTTGGTTGCCCTAGAAAAATTTCCTACATGTAGAATTCATCTCTTTGCTAACTTTGACGGACACTTAAACAGGATAGAGTATGATTGGGAATACCATAAACACTTGCCTTGATCAGGGTAAGCCTACCAGCTCTGGACAAGGTCTGAGCCTTCCACCCAGCAAACTTACCGCAATTCTTTCCACCATGTTCTTGGCATTGAGAGGATCTTTCCAGAAGACAATATTACTTATCCCAAGGTAAAGACCAATGGTAGCTTTATGTTGAATTTACATAATGCAAATAAGATTAGATCTTAAGTTGGCAGCAACATGTTAGAGAAATACACAGTCGACTTATGTAAATTAATTTTTGACAAGAAACTTCAAAGAAAGAGAGAAGCAATTTATTAATATTTCTGGCAGCCACTGGGGTGGATTTGGCAAAAATTAAGCAATCATATGCAAAAACTAGGTTAGAAATACAAAAACCTCTTGGCGAGGACAATAAGCCCATATTGGTCTTGGACAAAGAGGCTAACAAATTGCAGTGCTTAATAAAAAGCTCCATGCATAAAAATAAAAATAAAGGGGGAGAGGGGTCTCATTGTCCAATCCAATACCCCTAGAAGGAGTGAAAAAGCCATGAGGGGAGCCATTAACTAGAATAGAAAACAAGGTGCTAGTGATACAATTCATAATTCTATCACAGCACTCAACACTAAAACCAAATTGGAGTAGACAAGAATTAATATAACACCAATCAAGGACATCATAAGCCTTTTCCAAGTCAAGTTTAACAGCCATGGCTCCTCTAGAACCTTTCTTACGTTTGAAATCATTGAATAACTCATAGGCGATTAAAATATTATCAAAAATAGAACGACCCGGTGCAAAGGCACCCTAGTTATGAGAAATGCATTTAGAAATAATAGGTTTAAGCCTATTAATAACAATCTTAGTGATGATCTTATAAGTAATATTACAAAGACTTATAGGCCTAAAATGAGAAATGGTTTCGGGGGCATTAATCTTGGGTATGAGAGCAATATTGGTATGATTAATTTCTCTTCAAGACATGTTGTGAGTAAAAAATCATCAACCAAATTTTTCAATAAGTGCTTTGTGTGGTCCCAATAATTTTGGTAAAAAATAGCATGTACCCCATCAGGGCCTGGTGCTTTAAGAGCACCAATGCTCTTGACAGAATCATGCAACTCTTCTTCGGAAACATGGGCTAAGAGCCTATCATTATCAGAAGCATTAATACAAGGTTGGATAATATTAGTATAAATTTTAAGTGACCTCTGACTTGGTTCATTAGAAGCTATAAATCTCTTTCTAAAAGCATCCACAAGTGTTTGTATAAGGCTCTCTTCCTCCACCCAGTTGCCATGACAATCCTTGAGTTTCAAAATTTGGTTTCTCTTTCTTCTAATCAGGGCTGGGTGTGAAAGTATCGCGTATCTTATCACCTAAATTCAGCCATTTGGTTCTAGCTTTCTGAGCATAAAAAACCTCCTCTTGCTCAAGGAGTTGTTTTAGGCATTGATTAATCGAGAGGTCTCTATTCACAAGGTAGGGATCAGTGGGTTTATTAGCTAATTGATCCTAAATGACTTGCAGCTCATCTTGAAGAGAGCTAATTCCTTGGAAAAGGTTATCAAAGACTTCATGATTCCACTTCTTAAGAAGGTGTTGAAAGGTTCGATAGCAGGTGTTAACTTCTTGTGAAATAAGCCATATTCCAGGCTTGACTGACAATTCGAGGGAAATCTGAATGGAATAACCACATAGTTTCAAATTTGAAATTTCTAGGGTTATTTCTTTTTCTAGTAGTACAAGATAAAAATATTGGGCCCTGATCCGATTTCAGGATGGGCAGGTTATGAAGAACACAGTTTGGATGCAATCTCAGCCAATAGGGATTGACCAAGACACGATCAAGTCTCTCATAAATAACTAAGATGTCTTTATGACCATTACACTAGGTGAAGGGAACACCAGCAGCATTAAGAGAAAAAACTTCGCAATCATTTATAAAGTCATTGAATTCAGCCAAGACAGCAGGTACAGTGGAAGGACCACCTAGTTTCTCATTGGAAGTACAAATATTGTTAAAATCACCCATGAGAATCCAGGCTTCAAAACCCCTAGGCTTAAAGTCAAGAATATCAGTCCATAGTTGTTTTGTTTGTGTTTCTGCAGATAGGCACAGACAAAAGTTGCTTTCCAATGTTTATGATCAATAATATCTTGTATATACAATGGACAAAACACTTATGATACTCTAAAATAGTTATATTAATAAATGATGGATTCCACAATAAGATAATCCCTTTACACTGACCAATGGCAGGGATACAAAAGGAACCAGTAAAACCAACCCTTTGAGCTATAGCCGCAGCTTGGACCCTAGAGGCTCTGGAATTCAAAATACAAAAGACATTTACACTAAAGATACTTATATAAAACAGAGGTCGCAAAATAATCCCGGCCAGGCGCTGCCTCGATTATTCCAAGATAACATCTTCATGGGTTGGGGTTAGGGGAATCACCACAGAGGGACCAGTCTCCCTCTAATATTCTCCTCTAATCTCAACACTAGGGGACATAATCTTCCTCCACTACATCCTCATCACGAGCTCTCTTCTTAGGGCTTTTGTAAGCAAAAGCTGTGAAGGCACTATTGCCTTCCTAAGACTGAGTAAAGGCTGTCATAGCAGTCTTGTCATAACCCTTGCTACTCTGACCCATAACCTGAACCTTAGCCCTTGTAGCAATAGAACCACCTCCTTCAACTATATTGATCCCCTTGACAACTTCTCTAAAAGTTCTCTCATCTCTCTCTTGCATCTTAGCTTTACCTTTGCGGTTAGACACTACAGTTCACCCCGGGTGTTGCACCTCGTTGGTATTTTCTCCCCTGATCAAAATTTTCCTCAGCCAAAAAGGAGTCCACAATGATAAGCTGTGGGAACACCAAAATGACATCTTCAGCTAGTTATGCTACTCCTCCACCTCGAGGACTAAATCCCTAGGGAAACATTAGGCTCATTTTCCATCACTACACTTGGAGAAAACTCTTGTTTGAAATTTTGATAGGACACACATGACCACGTTCCATTTTCTGACTGTAATAGAAGCAGATAACAAATAGAGCTTCATAGCTCACAACAATTCTAGTTTCTTGAGGGCTCTCCCCCAAAACTAGACAACATTTCAGAGTCCTAGTTAGGTCCAGCATCAAACGAACTCGGACAAACATACTCTGCTGACCCTCTGTAGACTACAAATCAACACTTATGAGGTCTCCAAGGATAGAAACTAGATCGTGTAACACCTCGGGTCTTTGTAGTGGAGAGGCAGAAAAGGAACCCAGCCAACAATGGAAGTGACAGTAGCATGGAAGGGGGAGAAGTCAGGTGTCTAGCGCTGGAGCGCATAGATTTGACCTGGACAAACCAAGGTCTATTCTCCAGCACAAACATGACATCTTCTTCAGAGCTAAACTCTACCTTATACCAATCTCAACCAATGCGGTCAATCGAGACATCGCCTTGCATATTTTTCCACTCACTCTTAAGTCTGTGCCTAATGACTCTACTGTTCACAAGGACTCCAAAGACCTACCAACCAAACAAAAGGTCTCGTAGTGGCTTTAACAGCAGAAGCTAAATCAGAGGTAGACATTTTGGTTTCATTTCTATCCACCCTAAAGGTGAATTTGCCCTTGCGGATCACACGAGGCTCCACAATAGACCCATTCCCCCCAGCGGGAATCAAACTTAGGGTTCAGACTGCGAGAATTTGCATGAGAAGAGCTAGCATTGAGTTGAGCACTCATGGTGAAGTAGGAATAGTGTATGCACCAACAGAGGAATATAGGACGCAAGAACATGAAGGATTGGAAGTGATGTGGGACACTAAGCCAAGTCTCCAGATAAACAGTCAGGAGAAAATTCTCACAATGATTACAGCATAGACCATCCACCAATGCATGTAGAGATATTGGGAGGGGAATAAGTTATCTTACCTGGGCTGCTAAAATCTGCATCGAGTATCGCCCACATCTGCATTTGCATATAAGATTTCCAACTTTTGGGGTAAGTAATTAGTCTGAACCAATCCTGGCCATTAGATTGAAAAGAAGAGGCAGATTAAGGCACTTAGAATTAATTACTAACAGATAAATAAGCAATCTTTTACAATCATTAACATTTCCCAAAGAAAGATCATCTGAAGATGCATCATGAAGCCCAAGCGACCTCCTTTTAGCACCGCCGTGAGGTTTAGAAGATGGATCAGCAGGATTATCGCAACCCAATCCCTAAAAAATCTTGAGGAAGAACAATCAACTCCAATGTTAGATTTCTTTATGCACAAACAAGATCTTTCACACAAAACTGTAATACGTATAAAGACGTGACGACATACCTGGAGCCATCTTCCTTGAGTACACAGCTTCTGAACTCATCCAATCTGTAGCAGCAGCAATCCTAGCAAGAACAAGAACGGCTCAAGACTTCTGCTCTCTCTCAGAATCTGTTTCAGCTCTCTCTTTATGATGGGAATAGGTTAGAGAACGTGTCTGATGAGAGTAGAACCTTAAGCTTATATAGGGCTATGTCAAGTCGTCTCTACTCATCACCGAGGGCGGACTTGACTAATCTTCTAAGCCCACCAGATCGGTCACCCATAAATGGAAATAAATAGGATTAATAGGCCTCAAAACCCTTTCTTATTTCACTAGGTTTTGGGCCTCAAGGTACAACTTAATTTAAACTCTTATCAAAATATGATATAACTTAGTATCTAATGCATCGATCTAAATAGGAAAACATAACATCTCCCACTAGATCAAGCACTAGAACACTAAGCTTTTGTATTCCGAAAGGTTTGATAATCTTTATTAGCCATGAGTTTAAAACAGTTAAGTCCTTCCCCTCAAGCTACCATGAAATGTGATTAGACAAAACGAACTATAGACAAGCATTGCTCTCTCTATTAAAAATAGGCCATCTATAATCACATAATGCAATCTCAAAACACATGAAGCACCTACAACGCGAACCTTAATATGTACTGGTCTTAATGTGAATCTTTATGCATTTCAGTACAAGTACCTCTTTACGACTTAGCAAGAGTCAATCTGCAATGTTATTAAAACAATAGTATCTCAAAAGAGACCATAAACTCACATGCATAAACAAAATTGCATAATAAGTTTAAACAGCTAAATAGTCAAAATGGTAGAATTTATTCAATAATAAATAAAACAGTCAACCAAATTAACATCCTTAATGCAAATCCCTTAATCCAGAAAACAGAAAACAAACAAAACAAACAAACTAGTAAATATCAGAATGGGAACAAGACTCCCACTAGATTGCAACATCAAACTAGGAAATAGTCCCATGCTCTTAACATGTCTCAAAAAAGCTTCTGAAGGCAAAAACTTTGTGAACGGATCTGCAATCATATCTTGAGTTCTGATGTGATCAAACCTGACTAGTTTGTCCGCTACCTTCTCCCTCACTATTAAATAATTTTGTCAGTATGCTGAAGTCCAAACGACATCTTGTTGTTCATACAGTGAAAAACAGCTACAGTGTTGTCATTATATATCTGTATTGGTCTAGAAATCGAGTCCCCCACCTAATTTCTTTAATAAAATTCCTTAGCGATACTGCATGAGCAGTGGCTTCATAGCAAGCTATGTATTCTAAAAACATGGTTGAACTCGAAACACTAGTTTGTTTAGCACTCTTCCAAGCAACAATGCTCCTGCCATCTTGAAGATAAAACTTGAAGTAGAGATGTAATCATCCTCTGCTTTTCCAATATTCGCATCAGCATAATCAACAAGCTTTAAATTCTCTGTGCGTCTGTAAATTAACATATAAGCCTTTGTTCTCTGTAGGTACCTCAGAATCTTTTTTCTAGCTATCCAATGTTGCATTCCCGGATTTGACTGAAATCTCCCCATCTTGCTAATGCACAAGGCTAGATCTGACCTTGTACACACTTGTGCATACATAATGCTTCCAACTAGAGAAGCGTATGACTTGTTCCTCATCTCATCTTCTTCTTCTTTATTCTTGGGGCAATGCTTCTTCTTTAAATCTCCTTTAGCTAACAGAACTTTCTGTCCAGAACACATACTCCTGTCAAAACGCTTGAGTATCCTCTCAATGTATGTTTTCTGTGATAGGCCTAGAAGGCCTCGAGCTCGATCTCTCTGAATTTTAATGCCCAACACCAAAACAGCTTGTCCCAAATCCTTCATGCCAAAATTATTTGAAAGTACCTCCTTGGTGTCCTTCAGTAAATTGTGGTCATTTGTAGCCAAAAGTATGTCATCAACATATAGCACTAGAAAAATAAATCGGCTCCCACACTTCTTTAGATAAATGCACTGGTCAGCTATGCTCTCTTCAAAACCCATAAGAGGAAACAGTTTTGTGAAATTTGAAATACCACCTCCTGCTTGCTTACTTCAGTCCATAAATTGTCTTGCCAAGTTTGCAAACCATATGTTGTTTTCCCTCCTTTGCAAACCCTTCAGGTTGCCTCATATAATTTTCTTCTTCGAGCTCACCATTCAAGAAGGCAGTTTTGACATCCATTTGATGCAAAGGTAGGTCATAATGCGCCACCAAAGCCATAATGATGCGGAACGAATCTTTGGTGGAAACGGAGAAAACATCTTAGCATAGTCAATTCCCTCCTTTTGGGTAAATCCTTTGGCTACCAATCTAGCCTTAAATCTTTCGATTCTTCCATCCTTATCCTTCTTTGTTTTAAATATCTATTTCGAGCCTACCAACTTCTAGCTCTTATGAGGTTCAACTAATTTCCATACTTGATTATTCTTCATGCTTTCAAATTCATTCAACATCGCTTCCCTCCATTTGTCTGCATTCTGACTCTCCATAGCTTCTTTAAAACTTATCGGATCAGCTTCATCTCCAATGTCAAAATCTGCTTCTTGTAAGTACACATAATCTAAATTGATGTGGATCTTCTTGGTCTGTCAGATCTCCTCGGTTGTGCAGGTTCTTGTGGGTTATCTAGCTCAAGATTCTCAACAGCTTGTTCTTATGGTTCAACTGGTTCTTCAAATTAAGGATTTTCCAATACAGTTTCACTTAAAGGAATCAAGGGTGTAACATCTAGTTCAGAATTTTCAATTACAACTACATCACCTTCTTCTTCAAAATAAAATCTTCATTCCCAGTGACATTCTCCTCATGCTCTATAAACTTTACACAACCAGTCTCAACTATTCGGGTACCATAATTTGGACAATAAAATATAAAACCCTTTGACCTTGCAAGATAACCTATAAAATGACAGCTTATCGTTTTAGGATCAAGCTTCTTCTCTTGAGGGTTACAGATTCTAGCTTCAACCTTGCAACCCCATACATGAAGATGTCTCAGGTAGGCTTTATGGTAGTCCAAATTTCAAGAGGTGTCTTAGGCACAAACTTACTAGGCACTCTATTAAGTATGTAGTTTGCTGTTTTGATTGCTTCTCCCCATATGCTCTTAGGAAAATCATTTTTGAAAACATGCTGCGAACCATATCCTTCAAGGTTCGATTCTTCTTTCAGCCATACCATTCTGTTGCGGAATTCCTGGCGTTGTGTACTGACCAACTATTCTATTTTCTTGTAGATACCTAGTAAAAAAGGTCTTGCACATCTTCCTCCTTCATTAAACATCCATAATATTCACCCCCTACGTCTGACCTCATAATTTTGATCTTTTTCTCAAGTTGTCTTTCTACTTCAGTTTGGAAAATCTTAAACATTTCAAAAGCTTGAGACTTTCTGCTATGAGATATAGATAACCAAAGCGAGAATGGTCATCTATAAAGGTGATGAATAGCGATTTCCATCAATTGTTTAATAAGGGAACCGTCCACAAAAATCTGTGTGGATGATCTCTAAAGATCACCACTGCGTGTTACACCTTTCTTCTTAGTCTTAGTGAGTTTTCCTTTGACACATTCAATAAAAATTTTGTCATCACCAAAAGTCAATGATGGCAAGATTTGTTCCTTAACAAGAATTTTCATTCTTTCCTTTGAAATGTGCCTTAAATTTCTATGTCATAACCTAGTGGATGTCCTTCACTTCTAATCCTTTTCTTACTCGATTCAGTCATTAAAACTTCACTATCCTTTTGTAATTGAGACAATATCCATCTTTATTGTCTTGAATTCTGAGATACAAAAAACATCTTTATTTGATTGTGATTCAAACTCATGTAATTGATACAGTATAAATAGACACTTGTACACAATGTTCAAGGTGTGCTTTTCATTCAAACTCTTCTATGTGATCAATTCTTCATTTAGGACTTCTTTGACGGCTTATAGATGGAACTTTACGAGGATTGCTAGGCGTGGTTTGTTGTTAAACCTAAATTAGGAAATCTTTCCTGTGATAAGCCACATATCTCATCCACTTCTTCATCAAATTTGAATATTTGATTCATTCAAGGATAGTCTCCTATCCCATGTTATGTTGTATCTTTAAATTCAAATTATTATTGAGATAGCTTGTAAATAGCACTACAAGAAAACCAAGTATTTATGGCGTGCATATGTTGCGTGCCGTAAAAAGTTGGTTTTTATGGCGTTCTATTTTTGCACGCCGTAAATGATTTTTTTCGTATATTGTTTACGGCGTGCTTTCTATGCATACCATGTTTGTTTGTTATTAATGGCGTGCTTTCTATGCACGATGTAAAATCTAAACGAAACATAATGCTATTTATGGCGTGCTAAATATGCACACTGTAAATGTTATTCCATTAATTTCGTGCTTTTCTTGCACGCTGTGAAAGCCCATTTTTTCCTCCCTTTTTTTTTCTTCCGTGCCACCCTTTCTTTTCACCAAATAGTTTGTACGAGTTTTCTTTTCACCAAATAATTTCGTGCTATGTTTTCTTTTTGTAAAACAAGCCCTAGGCTCTAAAAGCCTACAAAGGGGGGGTGAAGTAGGCTATATGGTAATGACCTATGTTTTTAAATTTTAAGTCCAACTAAGAATTAATAAGCAGAAACATAAACACATGCACAACCATGGTGTTTAATTACTAGCATATGTAGTGAGTAAACGGAACTGACTGCATGAAACTGGATGATATAAACGACACCATGTATTAATACAAATAGAAACCCTTGTGATTTTGGATCAATACAGTGCAATGCCATATTGATCCACGTTAGTGTACTGATGTCATTTGAACAAGATGCAGCAAGTACAACTAATGACAACAAGAATATAAACATACACAAAGATTTGTTAACCTAGAAACCCAACAAGGGGGAAAACTGGGGGACCAAGCCAGTAAGAGAATCCACTATCAATGAGAAGTACAAGATACAAAAGGAGTTGTGCTCCATCTACACTCAGTAGACAGATAACTATCTAACCTTCTAGCAAAGCACAATATTAGCTCATCTACACACAATAGGCAGCTAACTATCTAACCTTCCAGAAAAGCACAATCTTTACTTCTCAGCAGCAAGTTCTCTTCCAGTCTTTGCATGAGCATTCAGCTCCAATTGCAACAGACAAATCTTCATGGTCTGCAATAGCACGAAGCTCCAAGTTGCAGAAAGTATAATGATATGAAGTGAGTTGTGGTTTCAGATTTTCATCTTTCTTAATCACAAAGAATGATTAAGCTAGACAAATGAAACCAAGTGTTGTGATGATTAAACTAGAAGTAATGAACTTGAAGCATATAGTTTAAATCAACATAACAATAATGAAACAAAAGACTCAGCCGAAATCAATGTGAATATACTTGGAGGAATTTTATGTGTATGCAATCATACTCATACTCTCAAGTAATTAACAATGGCTGAAACAATAAAATAGTTTTTGAATGCTCAAGAGCAAATATAAAACGATTTCAAAAACTAGAACCGAGTCTGCATCTAAGATGTAGATTTTCTGTTTTTACATGGCTAGCATGAATGGTTCTTCAAAGAATTGATAAAATGAAGCAAGTTCAAATGAACTTCTCAACCTCTTCCTTAGGTCTAGCTTAGTATATATAGAGACTTTGATTCGAATGAAGAGGGGATATTTTGAACGAAGGGAATCATTCACCCAACCACATATAATATAAAGAATGTTGTCTGGTGGCTAAAATATCTTGAAGGGCAAAACTGCAGCAAATCCGTTCCTATGAAGTGATACTGGAAAACCAGTATGAATGAACAACCTATTTGTTGTCATATAAGGAGCAACACACATAAAGCTAAGCATGGTCTGTCCAAGTGGTAGAAAATAATAAAGTATATGCAATCTGCATATACAGTCATGAAGAGGATAACATGCTATTGGAAATAATCGTGCCACGAGCTACAACTATTGAAAAGAGAGAACCCATGCTTTGTCAGAACACATGTACAAGAGTGGAGAAAAGATGGCATGTGCACAAAAGAGAAAATAAATACTCCATTTGAGAAAACTAGTTTCAAGAAAGAACATATTATATAATAATATGTTGTTTTCAAGAATCCTAAAAGAGAGAATAGAAGGAGTCGGTTGAAGCATGGAGCATTGACTCCACAAGCAATAAAGCAGTAGCCCATGTGCAAGATAATATAAAGACTTCTTTTGGAGAAAACTAGTTTCAAGAAAGAAAAAATATATTATAATAATATGTTGTGGTCACATAAACATGGGGTAACTTCAACCAAGACTCTTGCATTTGAAAACAAGTTTCAAGAAGTTAATTGACACCATAAGCAATTTAAGAAGTCTTCATCGAATGAAATCAAGAGCTGAAGATATTTTAATAAAATATTAATGATACAGCTCAAAGTGGATTGAAATAGAATATGTAGGATTGATGCAGAATACAGTAGAACACGTTTTTTAAAGGTTGTATCAATCCTCGTATATCAATCCATGTGTATGAATGCAAAGTGAAAAATGGATTAAAACATACTAGGAAGGATTGATACAAAATGAAATAGAAAACGATTTTAAGGCTTGTATCAATCCTGTGTATTAACCCATGCAAATGTATGCAATGAATTTAAGTTTGGACTACAAAGATGACACTTTTGAATCTAGCATGTGCATTCAAACAAACTTAAACCAATATTTATACCTTAGCAAAATACATTGGTTTTGTCATAAGAGAAGAGTCAAAATATAATCCTTACACTTTCTGTTTTTGTTGTCTTTAGCTATGTTTCTGTTTCTAATAATTTCAATTTTTCCGTGTTTTAGAATAAATTTATTATTGATGAGTGTCATAAGAAGTATGCATTACAAAATATGGCAAAGCTTGGCATGATCATAGATGTAAATTACTAAAGGAAGTGCGGAAACGAGGGAGCTTGTTGGTATTAAATGTGCTACAAGGAAACTCAAACCTGATAATATAAAGAGTATGGAAGAATGGCAAAGTTTCATCAAGAAACGTTTGGGTCCAAAATACCATGTAAAACTATTTCATTATTTCACATAGAGCAATTTAATTTTCAATATTTCATTCTATTACAATAATATTGAATAATTTATAACTTATATTTATAGGAGAAAAGTGAGAAATTCAAGAAGATGAGGGTAAAGCAAACAATGTTACACACAATGATTCGTAAAGGTTATGCTCACCTCAAAGATGAGATGGTAAAATTAATTTTTTTCTTAACAAGTATATCAGCTGATTGCAGTATCTTATTGCTTGGTAATTGGTTACTTTGTAGAGAAAAGCAAGTACATCGCTTGATAGCATAACAAGGAGAGATGTATGGATTTGTGGGCATACAAGGAAATCTGGGGGATTTTTAAATGAAGAAGTTGCAAATGCAGTGGTAATAGACAAACTCATTCATTTGTAGTTCATTCCACTAGTCACTTGATTGAATTTGGCATTCAAATTGCTCCATCAATATTTGGCTTATTTTCAGAAAAAAAAAGAAAAAGAAAACAAGAATGCAACACACTATTGAGAAATACTCTATTAAGAATGATGCTCTTGTCAAAGCACTTGGCCCTAAGCGTCGAGGCTAGGTAAGAGGACTTGGGTTTGCAAAAAACCTTCACATATGGGAGCTTAGACATATTCTCGTAATAGAGTTATTAAATTGGAAAAAGAGGTCGAAAAGTTGAAAAATATTGACCATTCCTTATTAGCTGGATCTAAGAAGAAGCATGCTAATTCGGTAGGTACATTTATTAGACTTTAAATTCTTTTTTTATTATCGAGTTTATCGTTTGTTTTATATTTTCATGGCAGTTCCCTTGTGTTAGCGCAAATGCTCAAGGTTTTGGAGGCCTGGAAGCCAATTCTGCCAACCAAGCTAGTTCTCACAACATTCAAGCGAATTCTACAAATTGTAAAGCTAAATATGTCAACCTTCGATCCAAATCTAAACTTGCCAACCCATAAAGCTATTAAGAATGTTGCTCTTGAAGCCTCTTCGGCCAACCATAAAGCTAAATCTGCCAACCTTCTATCCAAATCGGTTAACCTTGAGGCTATTTTACTCACCATTATGGTAATTCCCAATCTTCAAGGGAAAAAAGTGCAAACTACTACATTGGACAGGAAGTGGAGAAGTTGTTGCACTTGCTAAAATTTCATCCACAAACACTCAAGATAATGTGCACTTTGTGCCACTCGGACCGGATTGTTGGAAAGTTTGGGTCCTTAGGTACTTGTAGGAGGCCAACCCTTATTGAGGCCAACACATGATCTTATTGAAGATGTAGTTCTTAGTACAACCGCATGGCCAATCAAGTTCATCTCCTTCTACTAGCTCTTGATTGAGGTAACCATTATATAATTTGTAAAAACAAAATTATGTTGAGAAATAATTGAAGATACATATCATGTTCTAAGTGAATAACAACTTTGCTGAATAAATATAAATTCTCATTCCTGAAAAGTGTACAAGGATTTTCGTATAAGCGAGCTTATCTCAGTTTTTAATTCACTTTTGTTCCTTTTTTTTATCTTCTTGTTCCTTTTTTAAAATTAATTAATATGCTGGGTGTATTGGTAGGTGAAACAAAGTTAACATCATGTCTTCTAATATTCTTGTTTGTTTTTATTTTATTCTTTCCTTTGGCAAATTCTTTCCTTAATGATGCACACTTCAATCATAACATTCATGCTTAGTTTTGCCCTTCTATTTATGAGGCTTTTCCTTTGGCAAATTAAAATGGTTAAGTTGCTAAAATGAGTTTTCAAACAAAATGCAGGTGGCAAGTCAAGTGTGAGTTTGATTCTTGTTAGATGATGTCTACTGCCAATGCTATCATGAGGTTTTTGCATAGGTTACATTGTAGGTTTGGCAGCACTATGATGAGTGAATGAGAGGCTGTAAATTTGGCAGCACTATTATGTGTTCATTAATACTTTATAGAGTTTGTATTTGGAATTAATTATGATTGGTATAGTTTTCAATGAAATGGTTCTTTCTTTCAAGTTTGGTTGCAATACTACTTTTCGTTTTGTGAAATTTTGTATCCAAGGTAGTAATAGATGATATAAGTATATTGTAAATATGAAACAGGAGAAGGCAGAGAATTAATAATTTGTTTTAAAATTTTAAAGTTAAACACGATGTGCACTAAACATCTTAAATGAGAATTAATTACTCTTTACGGTGTGTATTCTATGCCATAATTAGTTATTTAAGGTGTGTGGAACACGCCGTAATTATTCTTTTAAGGCATGCAAAGCATGTCGTAATTGCTTCAACTGAATTACAGCTCATAGGGAAAGTCATCTTAAGTTTTTACAACGACGTTCATGTACGTCGTGATAAAGGAACACTATTTACGACGAAAAGCTTTTACTACTTGCGTGTTTTGCTTCGTGAATGATAATTCACGACGTGCTTGTGCGCCATAATAGATGTGTTCTGGTGTAGTGGTGGTTTGTTGTTAAACCTAAACTAGGACATCCTTCCAGTGATAAGCCACGTATCTCAACCACTTCTTCATCTGATTGAATATTTGATTCATTCAAGAATAGTCATCTCCTTACTACATTGTTATGTTGTATCTTTAAATTCAAATTCTTATTGAGATAACTTGTAAACATGTACTGTTTTGTATTTGATTATGATTCAAACTCATGTAATTGATATAGTATAAATAGACAGCTGCACACAACTTTCAAGGTGTGCATTTCATTCAAACTGTTCTATGTGATCAGTTATTTCATTTAGGACTTCCTCGACGGCATATAGATGGAACTTTACGAGGATTACTAGGCGTGGTTTGTTGTTAAACCTAAATCAGGACATCCTTCTAATAAACAAGGGATAAAATTTATGAATACTAACAACATGTACCTTAAACGATTTTGATATTCTTATATGTCCAAACCTTATACATGATATACCACTTGAAAACTAAACTAAACGAAACAAATTAGTGATCTTTAATATGAAATACACAATATAATGTTCTTTAAAAACCACAGCGAAATTATAAGAAGAGAAACAAAAGACATAACAAACCACGACATGATCCAATCAATTTTCATATAATAAGATCAAGTTTCTTTTAAGTGATAATTTAGAACAACTTCATTCCCAACAATGTATGCATACTATATTATCATTGTTGGGAAGAGTACAACACTGTTCATAAAAACTGTATTACAAAACTAAAAACAATGAACATATGTCTTAGCTTATTCCATTATAAATTGAACCATATTAGTCCTTATTTGAGAGGAAAATTTCATAATACAATTCTGATCATTAAGCCTAAATAATTAAGATATTATAATCGAAGAAGTACTTTGACAATTTAATCAATACAAAATCTTTCTTTAAACATGATCAATAAACTTTAGTTAAATATGTCAGGAAATATAAATATAGTGGCATGTAGGTGAACACCCAAGACTTGCTTTCCTTTAGTGATGAGATCAACTTTCTTTATGGTATGATATAAAAAAATATGTACTCTTATTATAACACCAAAAACAAAACTATATGTCACTTTATAATTTATTAGAATCAAGAATTCATTCATATATCACAATCTAATTAATAAATATAACTAATTAAAATCATGTTAAAAAAAAATTATAGCATGTGTCAAAGCTTGTAATTTAATATATGCACAACGAATTCGTATGTATAAGGTATACCAACATTTCAAGATATACACCCGCAATTGAAAAGGCAAAACCAATTTCTATTCTTGATGGTGTACAAAACATGCAAACTGACTTTCATGAAATTTTGATACCTTTGATTGATAAACAATCCCAACAATTTTTAAGGCATGTGCACCATTCTATGTCATTAAAAATCAAAATATATAAAACAATTCTTTCTTTGGAATGAACTGTTTTATATGTCTCAATTATAATGCAATCTCTAACTAATTTTGTTTGATAAGTTAAGGTGTTATAATGAATAAAATGGCTTTGGCAATTTGTAAACATTGTAAAACCCTCTTTTTGAACTCTACCGATTGAGCTATAATTAATATGCATCAATTTATTAGTACAACAACTTCAAGATCTTGAAAACAATTTTTACACAACATGAGTGAAAAAAATTTCTCAATACATTGAGGCAACCCATAATCCTTTAATATATCACCCAAAGGTAAAACCATATTCCATATTCCGTAATTAATATTATGGCATAGATATTCATTTTCCTAAACAAAATTGCAACCTCCATTCATGAGGATGTGCATGTATGTTAAATATAAAGAGCTATAATAATTCTGTCATGTGTAAGGATGGTAAGGACATGAGATGATAAGGTGGTGGGGAAATTTCAATTAATTAATACATCAAACTCATGATTATTTTCCTTCATTAATACACTACTTGCCATGCGGTAATTACATTGATTGTATGTAGAGACATCAAATTTATTCTTTATGCCAATATTGTACGAAAACAATTCTAAAGAAATTGAAGCAAGCTTGAGATTGAAAACTGAGGCCATTACATATGCTAGTTTTATGCTTCAAAAGGTGATGAAATATTTATATGCACTACAATATAAAAATATCCAAAAGCAAACAAGTAACTTTAGTCATCACATGAATTGTTCAAGCCTTTTTTTTAATTGACAATTTGATCCCTATTGAACCAATAGAATGATCCATAACCTTCATGATTTAAATGCTAAAGATGGTAGTGTGAATCAATTTCAGAGGGCCACACACTATGAAGCTCACAGGCCATGGCCGCAAACACCTTAGGTGAACTCATCAAGTGCCCACCAAGTACCCATATATGAAAACATCTTAGCAAACCCGTATGTTACTTGTCAACCCTCATTCAATAAAACATATGTACTAGATTGATATGATCAAAAGCAAACAAGATATCCTCAATACTCATATCATTGAAATCGTTAACATGAAAACTAAAATGAAAACTTAAAAGCATGTTATGGTTCCTAGGCGTTGACTTTAGGGTTTAACAAATAGGTCTTTTAGTTGTATTATGAGTGGCTCTGATACCACATGTTAGAACGTAATGGCATAAACAATTAAAAACACTAACCTGTATAGTCATATGAACAACACAAAGTTTTCTCCCATCTACAAGCCCTTGATCACATTATCTCTAAATGGGGTATGAGTACATTATATGTGTAACCACTTGTAAAGGCAAGGTGTCACGAAGTGCACGCCACCTCCACGCTATACTCCAAAAGGACTAGTCACCAATGAGGCTCCCTACAATCGCTTATAAAGCTCAGATCGACCTAGTAGTTTATCAATGTGGGACTCAATACGCCAACCTAGGGTATTACATTCTCCCCCACTTAAGTGGTTGACGTCCTCGTCCCTACAGTTAGCTTGACAATCTTTGTCAAGATTCACACTTGTGCCCCCAAGCCCACATGGTAAAACCCATTGGGTTGGCTCTAATATCATCTGTCACTCCCAAGGAAGTGCACACAACCTCAACGTTATACCCCAAAAGGGCTAGTCACTAATGAGGCTCCTTGCAATCGCTTATAAAGCCCAAATTGGCCATATAGTTTATCGATGTGGGACTCAACATGCCAACATAGGGTGTTACACATGGACCCTTGTTTTTATACTTAATTGGTTTAATCCTAAGTGAATTCTTCCTATCAACAAATTCGACTAGGACTCTACTTCATTACCAAGCAAACCTGATACTCATATCAGTTATAATATGGAATTAGGATTCCTTAGCTCAATAGGATACTTAATCACGTACTGTATGAGCAGCATGACGAGTTGGACTTAAACTCAATTTCTATGAGCACAACCTCAAACTAATCACAATGTGTGTTATGCCCTAATAGTGCTTACATTAAGTTCGATTATCATTATAGTCTAGTGGTAAAATGATAGATTCTTGTTTAAAAAAAACCATCAACATTACTCTAAGGAGATTGAGTTATTTAATTAACAATAATGAACAATAATAAGACAACGAAATGATTTTATTTTGTGCTTAAGATATTGCAAGGATTCAAAAATTGACAATGCGTGAGGAATATATAAGAACGTACTAAAGTTATATTATTTTATGAAACATAATAAACATATGCATTGTCAATTTTAGATTGAGTTCCATTGCTTAGTGTTTAAGTACCCATAATAAACATATATACCATGCAGTTGTACTCATAACGAATGTTATTCACACACTCTCAATTTTAAAATTAAGTACCTTAGATTTGTTAAATTCTTTTAATGTGGGACCCATGACTGCCACAAAGGCAATTGCAAAAAAATTTACAGAAAGCCTAACATCGGAACCATGTTGAAAAAAATGATAAATTCGAGGTACTTAATTGGTAGAATTGAGAATGGAGGTACAAAAATGCCTTATGTGTACAACTATATAGAGTACCAAATCGAAATTAACCCTAAAATGAATCATTGTTTGCTGGTCTTTATTTACTAAATGTAATTGCTAACTTAAGCATCAAAGAGCTCTTAAGGTTTCGAACCTAGGAAATTTTCACATATGTTTTCTTTGCTTACAAGCATACATAAAACAATTCTATATGCATAACTATTTCTGGCTTGCCACATTAGGCCATGTCTAAACTACTATAAATTAATTTAATCTAATTTATAAGGAGGGGACTCAAACTTGTGTGCTTAAGTCGAATTCATTGTCTTGGCCTAACTAACATATGCAAAATTTAACGTAATTTGGCATATCATTAAGAAGAATTTGCATATGTGGGTTAGTCCAGTTAGCTAAAGCAGTGAGGCAGCCCCTTTTCACTCAAGTTCAAATCAACGTTCCCGTAAATTAGATTAATTTATAGTAATTTAGACCACCACTTGTATAAAAGAAAATCAAGGATATAATCTTGATTGAATTAAAAAGGATAAAAGACAAATGAAAAGAAACCCAAATCAGTTCAAGAGAAGGGAAAATATTTGTTGTGGTTTTCACGTGCCTTGGAAGTGGGTGGTATGCTTAGGATTTTTACTCAAAAAACCAAAAAGAAAAGTGATCTTTCATCCCCACACGGCACACTGCTTATATTATGCCCTCTCTTTATTTTATTTTTTTGTCTGAATGCTTATTTGTCTTCCATACGTAACTTTCTTCTATATGGTATTGTATTTAGAGAAAATGGTCTGTTGTTGTGACACCTATCTATTTGTATTTATTTATTTATCAACATCTACGCGGGTTTTGATGTTCTTTTCTTAGTTCTGTGAGAGAATCTAAGGAGCATATTCAACAAGTTCATATAAACGATCAATAACTGATAAATAAACCAACCAAAAGCTATTTATCCTCCTCTAAAATTTTGATTCAAGATCCATTCAGTGTTTTTTCTTTAAATTTCAATTTCTTTCATTGCATAAGGTCAGTTGGCGAGAGGTGAGTTTGCCCCTCTTGCCGTCAAGTTTGAATCCCTTCCCTCTAAATTAGATTAATTTAGAGTAATTTTAAATTATCGCTTGTTAAAAAAATCTCAATTTTTTTGTAATATTGTAATTTTGATATTCAGAAACCCCGTTAGCACAAACATTAGCACGTGTCAAGAGACTGGTTGATGACTAAGCATCATGGGAATATCAGTCCCACACCAAGAATTACAATAAATAAAATGCTATAACAACGCATAGAGTACGCAGGGGATCGATTCATATGAAAATAATATCCCTAATAATATAAGATTGAAGAGGTACAATGTTCATTTGGAACATTGGAAAAGCCAAAAAATAAAAACTAACCAATCAATTTCAACAATATATACAATCAAGTATGGATTAATGGCCCCCTCCCTAATGTGTATATATATATATACAAACAATATATACAATCAAGTATGGATTCCAAAGACAACATGGGAACAAGAACAAGAAGCTTTCGTGATGAAGACTACAATAATAGAAGAGTGTTCCTCAGGAGCTATCCTCTCGACTGGGAATTAGGAGGAGGAGATCAAAATGATAAAGAAGCTGGTGGTGACGGGTCGACAGATGAGATGAGGCGGTCCAAGAGGAGCAATAAGGACTGCAGCAGCAGATCAAAGAAGCCCCTGAGAAAGATAATTCTGTCATTGTATCATTGGGGTGGAGGGAAGGTCTTGGTGTTGAGGAGGTTCAAACATAAACTTACTATTTATGTTATTTCTTGTATCCCCGTTGGCTTTAAGCCCCCTACAGCCCTTATTTCTGCTTGACAATATGTTGACATGAAAATGTGTATGATATGTCTTAGCCTTACTCATCACTAGCCTCTCTGCGCGCGATAATATTTTTGTGTTTTTTTTAATCACTCGTAGAGTGTGCGTGAGTTGTTCTCTTTCTTTTAATTTTTTTATAGCACTTAGTTTAAAGTTTTTGTTTTTATCCGATGTAGTATGTGTGTGTGAGATGTTATTAACTGCAGTTCTGCACATCTACTGAAAAAACAAAAGCAAACTATTGCTTCATAAGATTATGTCACAAAAATTGGACCGACCTCATTGGGGATTGATTTAGTATAAAAGTTTTGGCATGTATATTCACTCAGTTCGTGTACAATAGATATTGAGTGATCCATAATTTACTTATAGGGATTTTTCTCTATGTATTCTAAACCTACAATATAAGCATAATTTTACCTCCTTGTGTTTTTTTTCATGCATAAGCATTTTCTTGTGTCATTCGCACTCATTGTCATTTCCAAATTCTAACAAAGAGATTATTTACATGCAAAAAATAAAATAATAATAATAAATAACTTACATATAAGGAGCTTGTATGAGTGATGTACCTAATATAAACTTACATTACATATATGGAGCTTGTAGCTCAAGTGATTAAAAACATTTATCCCTCCATTCAAGATTCTAGGTTTGTTTTCTCTGCTCTCAATATACTTATATAAAAAAAATAACCCACATATTATGGCGGTAATCTAACCAACTACAAATAACGTACATATGATTTTCGTCATAATTGAAATTTCCATATAAAAATGACTCCAATTCAAACCAATGTGCACTTGAGTGGATCACTTGGCATGGGTAAAAGGGATTCAAGTTTTTTTTTTTTTTTTTTTTTTTTTTTTTTTTTTTTATACATGTGATAGTTTAAATTACTCTAAAATTAATCTAATTTATAGGGATGAGGACTCAAACTTAAGTGCAAAAGGGCAGACTCATTGCCCTGACCAATTGGTCTAACCCAGGTTCGCTTCAAGCTTAGTTTAAGAACTAACACTACTATAAGAAAAAGGGGCAAAAACAACAAACAAAAAAAGGGGGGCAAACGGAACAATTTGTCTACCACTATGAGCCATCAGTGGCCATTAATAGCCACGGTTACTGTATATTTGTAACAAATAAGCCACGGTTAGTTCGTGGTTGATATAAAATTAGACACGACAACCGTGGCAAACAAACTTATCTTCGAACATTTTCAATGGCAATAGAAAATTAAATTCTTCAAATTAAAATTTTGTTGACTTATGTGGCAATTTGAAAAGGTTTATTTGCTACTTTAACAGTTTTTGCTTCAATAAACTCTTCAAGTTAATTAATGCAATGTTATGGAAAAATAAAAAATAAAAAACGAAAAACATGTGAAGAAAATCTATGTATTTATTATTTGAAAAGAAAAAGTGTAGGTTTTTTTATTTTCAATGTAAGTTTTATTCTTCCAAAGCAAAATTAAATGTTTTGAATAGCTAATGTCGACTCGTAAGTTTTGAAGAGAGAAAAATGGGTTTCAATTTTGGTAGCTGAGTTTGACAAGTCTATTGAAGGGAGTTTTATTAATGTGACTCACTTATTTTAGCATTCCAAATTATTGAAGAGGCAATTTGAGATACTTTTATTATATATAATACTTATTTTTTTTCTTACGTACTGTCACAAAAGAACTGTGGCTATTATAAGTGGTTAACCACGAAACAATGGCAATTTACTTTAACCCTAAACCCCCAGTACTGCTTGGGGAAAGTGTAGAAAAGAAAAAGAAAGGTTGAAATTTTTTTTACAGTATTTACTAAGACAAAGGCCACGATTCTGTGGAATTTGGACTACGAATAGTAACATGTTTAACCACTAGGGTATTATTCAGAGTTTTTTTTCTTAACCAAATGAGTATAACACTGACATACCAACATGAATCATTTGACGAATTTGACCTTAATCAAAAAATGTAAATTACCCATTTATCATTACCTACTATAGTGCAGTAATATCAAGCGCTCAACCACTAATATGTAGTTAATAGTCACTCACTTGGCCGAATCCAATAAGTTAATTTTGCTCGCATGACAATATATTCCCAACCCAACACATTCCCAAACCAAAAGCCTAATTTAAGAAAGTTTTAAATTGATAAATTCACACACCCCAATAGAGTTTACATTTGTGAAGAATCTTGGCCTCTACACAGTGTGGTTATGAATTTTATCAATGTAGATAGCATCAAGGGAAGCCAAGAGGACCTGTCCTAGAACCATGGCAAAGAATGCCTTCCCTGCTTGGGATTTAACCACAGGTCCCATCACTTATCAGATCGTAATACCAACCCCATCAAACATATATATAATAAGCCTTGATGCCATCTTTGATAAATTCTCACACTGAAATAGCAAACTAAAGTTGAAAGAAGTCATAAGAACAAAAAAGAATTGATTCAATATGAAATCTAACATTAAAAAAATCATAAAATAAGACTAACCACCAAGTTCCAACATAAAATACCTATTTTGTTTATACTATAACTGACCGGCTGCTAATAACAGGACACGTGGCCGCCTCACATGCAATGCCCACAATCCTACATCAAAATAATAGCTCAAAGTGCACCACTTTCCCCTCTATAAATAAGACCCTTGTCCCAAAACTCGAGGTAACAGTGATTTTGGTTCCTACATCCTTACACTGTCAAAATACTCTCTTACTCCGTCCTTAAGCTAACTTAAGTATCGGAGAGCCTTCGGCCGATACCACACGGGTACTCAAGGTCGCACCTTTGTTCTTTATTCTTGCAGATCCAATCACGACTATTGAAGGATCCACAAGAATGAAGGTATTCACACATATTGGTTGAGTCCATTTTTGGGCATCAACAGTTTGGCGTCGTTTATGGGAATCATAACTAAACAACCCCTACATTTACCAAGTTAAGATGGATACTTCTCTCATCCCAATACTTCGCTTACCCAATGGATCCCCAATCAGTAAGCCAAGTAGGGTGAATCTCACTCCCCCGCCTCACACACTGCTTCCAAATAGTACCATATGACAAACAACTGCCGAAGCCAATCTTTTGGCCCAGATAGAAACTTTGCGGCATAACATGGCGAAGATGCAGGAATACAACAACATCCTTTTTTCCAAGCTTGACGACACTCAGAAATAGCTACACAAACAACAAACCCATTATGCACAGCTTTAGCATGGCCTCGAGTAGACCATGAATTCAGTATGAACACTATCTTTAGAGTGCCCCTAACTGCAGTGTTGGATCCACCTAGGGCCAAGGGGGTCAATTGACCCCTGCAAACCCAAAAATCCACCATAGAAGGCCAAGAACTTGACCCCTGCAAATTGCCCAGAAGGTGTTTGATGAAATGCCCCAAAGAGGAAGCAGCCACAGCCCACAGCCAGCAAGAAGCTTGTTGCGTGCGCGCGCAGCCTCAGCACTTCATTTTTTTTTCCTGACGTCAAAACGACATCATGCAACTTATTTTGTTTTTTTTTTAATAAAAAAAAAACCTAGCCAAAACGACGTTGTTTTGGCTCAGGTGTTTAAAAATAAAATAATAACCTTAGGCAGCAGCTACTGCCCAATAAAATAGATTGGGGGATGGGTTTTTAACACAATGCTCTCATTCAAACACTAAATCCCCATCACCAACCCCTAATTCTACCCAACCCAATCCGAAGTTATATTTGTTAGTTTGTATTTGTTAGGAGTTTTTTATTATATTGTTTTTATTTTCTGAAATTATATTGTATTTGTTAGTTTGTATTTTTAGGTATTCTTTTTTAACAGTTAGAAATGCCGATGATACAAGAAATGTATATATCTTGCGCTATTAAAAGACATTAATGAATATGTTCATGCCTTTTCTTGTAGCATCTATAGAGAGAAGACTAAAGATTTTATAAATTAAAAATTAAAAACTTGTACCAAGAAATTGATGAAAGAAAATTGGGAGGATCACTATCATTTAATTTGACAGGAAAGATGAGTACCTGCTAAATCTTAGAAGATCGATTGTAAAGGATTTCGGGCCATGGTTTCTACTATGTTCTTCAATTTTCTTCTTATATTAGATTCAATTACATATCATCCTCTTAAGCAAAGTCTACTATATCTACTCTTTTGTTTGATTAAAAAGAATTAATTGGATTAATTTTTGTGTTTGTTAGTTTGAATAAATTAGGGTTTTTTCTATTAAAAGAATTTTTTTTTTTATTAGATTGTAATTTTTGGTTTGTATGCTTTAATTAGATTGTATCTTGGTAAATTGGATTAATTTTTGTCTTTGTTAATTAATGAATATTCATATATATATATATATATATTTTCCTTGATTGGTTGTTGTTGGGATTTTATTTGGTTAGTTTGAATCAATTAGGGTTTTGTTAGCTTGTATGATTTTTTTCATTAGATTGTATTGTTAGTTTATATGGTTTTATTTATTAACTATGAATTATAATATTATAGTTTCATTTTGATGGGTCTATTTTATATAGAATTTCTTTTAACATTTTACACGTTGACCCCCGGAATGAAAATTCCTGGATCCGCCACTGCCTAACTGGCGTACCAAGGGCAAAGGCTCCACGACTGTCGAACCTTCTCCATCAAAACAACTTATCATGCTTGTCAATGCAAATTTCTCCATGTAGTTTGGCGTTGAGCATGACTAGTAAAACATTTGAAGGTAATGGAAGGACACCAGTGTGGTGCCTGCCAAGGGACTCCAGTGTGTAAGAGTGAAAAATGATTAAATGAATGTTGATTCAAGATTGAACAAGAGTTGAATCCAATTTTTGGGATTGGATGTCTGTTACCATGTTCTGACAGATACCAAGGCTTATATAGAAGCTGAAACCTACAAATTGGTAGCGGTTACAGATGACAGGTGACAGATTTGGAGACGATGTAGGCTAGCACTTCTTAACTGGTGGAGAAGATCATGAGATTGTGGCAGTTAGCTCACTATCCTTAATTGTGATCCATTCCTAGATTTGGTGGCAACCCCTGCGAATCTGTGGGCTCAGCTAAGTTGGGAATCATGGCTGAGAAGTACACCTCCATTGTGGGGGTTGTGCTCAACTGATGTCAATTGGGCCTTGTTGGGCTAATATGAGACATCCTCATATAAACATAAAAAATAAGAGAGAGAAATCAAAGACAAAATAAGCGAAAATACATCACTTTAAGCTTTTGTTGTGCGTTTTTATTAGTAGTAAAAAGCTCATAGCAAAAAAGGCAGCTAAGTTCTACTTTCCTTATTTATTTATAGAGATTTTCTATTTGAACCCCGCACTTCTCTTTATTCACCCCAATACTTAAATCATTAAACTGTAAGTTTTATTATTGTGTAAAAAGAGAAAAAAAGTCATCCAACTTAATAATTAACCCTAATACATCTATACACCCCACCACTCTTCATATTAAGTTTTAGAAACCTCCTTCCAACTTCCTGTTTACAAACTCTCTCTCTCTCTCTCTCTCTCTCTCTCAACAATACCCCAGTGTTAGAATTCCAGTTACAGTTCTTGGAGAGAGGTAAAGTTGTTATCTTTCTCTAGAAAGTATTAAATTTCTTATTTTGGGTTTTTTTTGTTTGTTTTTTTTTTTTTTTTTGGGAACAAAGAAAATTGTGGGGGTTTAAATAGAAAATCTATTTTAGTTCTTATTTTTTCAGTTTGGGGTGTATTTAAGAGTAGTTTGGGAAAATAGTGGGGTTTTCTTAGAAATTGTAAAATTTAAATTAAAAGTTAAGGTGAACTTAGAACATAAGGTGAACTAAGAGAAGTGTGAGGTTTAAACAGAAAATCTCTTATTTATATATAACCAATACATGCCTACGTGGTGAATGAAATTCCTATGATGACTCCCTTTCTTTCTCTTATATACGCAAGTTTACAAAAGAAAGCTTCTCCCACAACTCACTAACTCAAAACTCAAACCCAAACCAAAGCTGGGGTTAATTGTGTGAATGCCTTCAATCTTGTGGGCCCTTTGGCAGTCAGATGGAATTTGCAAGAATGAATAGCAAAAGTGAGACCTTGGGCTATTCTTTTGATGTGGGATTGTGGGCATAACGATCAGTCACATATGGTATAAACAGGAGTCCTCCAAGTTCCCGATTGAGAAGGAACTTCTTAGTTCAGGGCTTGCATTTTTCATTGGCAATCTAACTAAGAGCGGTACTGCAAAGATGGTGAGCCTGTACTTAGCAAATTTTGCCAATGGCAGTTCCCTAGTCCCCCAACTCTCTGATTGAGTTGTCAATTGAAAAATAGGGAAAACTGGTTGCTGGTAGCTTCAGGAGTGACAGAGTAGTGATATCTGACTGGCCTTTGGGTGGTGAGTAAGATGTGGCCCTATCGAGCGGTAGGGTGAGTGATATTAATGCCTTGTGGATGTGTTTGTCGTTCAGTAATGAAGCACTAGCTTGGTTTATCAGATTGGGTAAAAATAATATTTCATTCATATTGATATATAACAATAGAAAGGTTATATATACATAGCCTAGGAAACTATTCTATGAAAGTAATTATGTTCCTATAATCTTGTAGAATCAAATAGTTGACTTAGACTAATTAGGAATGTACAGCTCATTGACACTCCCCCTCAAGTTGGAGCATATATGTCGTCAATGCCCAACTTGCTAAGTGAGCTGTGAAATACCCTGCATGTGACTGCTTTGGTAAGGACATCTGCAAGTTGATCTTCAGATTTAACAAATGATACCTTAATGATCTTCGCCTCGAGCTTCTCCTTGATGAAATGTCTGTCAACTTCAACATGCTTGGTTCTGTCATGTTGCACTAGATTGTGTGCAATGTCTATTGTGGCTTTGTTGTCACAATTCAGTTGCATGGCATGTTTGGGTCTAAACCCCAATTCCCTCAACAAATTCCTTATCCAGAGTAGCTCACATACTTCGTGTGCCATACCTCTGTATTCTGCTTCAGCACTTGATCTTGACACTATTTTTTGTTTTTTACTTCGCCAAGATACTAGATTGCCTCCCACAAAGGTAAAGTATCCAGATGTAGATCGCCTATCAGTAACAGAGCCCGCCCAGTCTGCATCAGTGTGACCCTCAACATCTAGATGACCATGTCGTGCGAACATCAATCCTCTTCCAGGAGATGACTCCAAGTATCTTAGAATTCTGTTTACCGCATCCATGTGGGCTTCACTTGGTGCATGCATGAACTGACTCACCACACTTACTGCATATGCTATATCATGTCTAGTGTGTCCTAGATAGATTAACTTACCCACAAGGCATTGATATCTTTCTTTGTTGATGGGTACCTGATCAATATATTCACCAAGCTGATGATTCAACTCCATTGGCGTATTTGCTGGTTTGCTGGCTAACATTCCAGTGTTAGTCAAAATGTCAAGGATATATTTCTGTTATGATAGAAATATTCCTTGTTCTGGACGAGCCACTTCGATGCCTAGGAAATACTTCAGAGCACCAAGATCTTTCATTTCAAACTCACTTGCCAAGTGATGCTGCAATGCTGCCTTTTCCACTGGGTCATTCCTAGTAACTACCATGTCATCAACATATACAATAAGGGCAGTGACTTTACCTTTCTTATGTTTCAAGAAAGAATATGATCTGAGTTACTTTGCTTGTATCCAAAATCCTTCATTGATTTGCTGAACTTTCCAAACCATGCTCTAGGTGACTGCTTCTATCCATAAAGAGACTTTCTCAGTTTACACACCATGTTGCTAGTGTTGGGCCCCATCTTGCATCCTGGAAAGGAATCTATATAGACTTCTTCTTCTAGGTTGCTGTGCAAGAAGGCATTTTTGACATCAAACTGGTGTAATGGCCAGTTTAGGTTTGCTGCCAGAGAAAGAAGTACCCAAATTGTGTATATCTTGGCTACAAGGGCAAAGGTCTCCCCATAGTCAATCTCATAAGTCTGAGTATAACCTTTCGCCACCAATCTTGCTTTGTATCGGTCAATGGTGCCATCTGCCTCGAACTTTACTGTATATATTCATCTACAACCCACTGTTCTCTTCCCTTTAGGAAGGACAGTCATCTCCCGAGTAGAATTCTTCTGGAGGGCCTCCATTTCATCATTCATCGCTTGAGTCCACTTGGGATCTTTTAGAGCTTCCTACACATTACTTGGAATAGATACAGTGGATAATTGACATGCAAATGATGCACATGACGGAGACAACCTATGTAGGGACACATGATTAGCAATAGGGTATTTAACTTTTGTTTTTGGGTCCGGGTCATACTGTTGTCTAGGAATCCCTCTAGTGGTACGAATAGGTAACTGATAACCTGTGTTTCCTGTATGACTCGACTCAAGCAAAGTGCTTAAGTTGGAGTTTAAATGTTCAGTTACCTGCGAGGAATTTTCAGGACCTGATTGGATGATTGGTGATGGTACTGCAGTAGGAGGGAAATTATATGAACCATTATCTGGAGTTTCCAGTAACTCTTGATCTTGTTGCACTACTGTAGCTGGTTGCTCAGACACTGACTGCTCTAAAACATTTTGTTGAATTTGGATGATCTGAGTATCTTCTGCAAAGATAGAGCTGTCCCCCTGCAGAGTATGCTTAGAAACTCCCCTTGAGTAATAGAACTCACTCTCATGGAAAGTCACATATGCAGTAACATGCATAGTCTGAGTGGGAGGATGGAAACACTTATAGTCCTCCTGAGTGTCAGCATAACCTACAAAGACACAAAGCAGTGCACACGGATCAAGCTTGCCACGCTGATGTTGATACACCTGAACATAAGCAACACAACCAAAGACACGTGGTTCGAGATTTGGTGTGGATGGCATGGTGAGGAGAGTGGTCAATGTCTGAAATGGAGTTTGATACTTAAGAGTGCTGGATGGTGTTCTATTAATGAGGTAAGCAGCAGAACAAAGAGCCTCCCCCCAAAATGATAAGGCATACATGCCTCAAATAAAGAGGCACGAACAACCTCCAAGAGATGATGATTCTTACGCTCTGCGACGCCATTCTGTTGTGGTGTATAGGCACATGTGGTTTGATGAACAATTCCATGTTGACTTAAAAAATTATGTAGGTCGTTGACGTACTCTCCTCCATTGTCAGACCGAAGTGTAGTGATCTTCTTGTCAAACTGTAATCCATGATCTATTACAAGTAAGTGAAGATGTGCAAGAGGTACCTAAGGTGGCCAAGGCCTTGGAGCCAGATGTACCTGACGGAGGTTCTGATGCAGTCTCCTCGAATGATTGAACGGATACAAATGAGGCTCTGGTCGAATCCTTTTTTCGCCCTTTGTGGACCCATCCTTCTAGATAACCAATGATCTCATAACAGCCCTTAATTGTGTGGTTATCTAAACCACATTTGGTACACTTCATTGGAGGCCGGTTACGAGTAGGGTCGACACTATAGTTGTTCAGCCGAGATTGTTTGGACCTCACAGTAGGCAAGGTTGTGGCTTTGGAGGTTACACCAGCTTCAGACATGGTTCCCTGGCGGTACTCTCTCTTTTAATATGTGCACATGCTACCTCAAGTTCGGGCTTTGGCTCCATCCGCAAAATCTCTCCTCGGATTTGATCGAAATTATTGTCCAAACCTGGAAGAAATATATAAACTCAAAGACGATCAACCTCTTTGCGTCTAGTCTCAATGTCTTTCGGATGCTCCATGGTGCTTGGACTTAATTGATCAAGCTCCTGAAAAATCTCAGTGAGCTCACTGTAACATTTGGCAACTGATGCGCCAGCTTGCTTCATTATGAATGACCATCTGTGAAGGTCATAAATCTTGGCTTCATCGGCACCATCTGAATAGGTTTTCTTGATTGCAACCCAGACTTGCTTTGCTGTGTCATAACGAATAAATCGTTTAATCTGATTAGGTTGCATGGTGTCGAACAACCAACTATTGACTTGGCAATCCGATGCACGCCATTTATTAAATGTGGGATTTGTGTCTGCAAGCTGGGCAATATCACCGGTCAAGTGGCCATGTTTTTCTCGCCTAGCTATCTTCATCTCTATGATTTGATGCCATAGAGAATAATTATTCTCATCCAGTTTGATTCCTGCGGAGAAGTTGGAGGTGTCACTCTGCAAAGTGACGATTCGTGTGATAGTTTTGGAGCCTCCTGACACCAAGGATTGATTGGTGTTTGCTGACCCATCATCGTTGGCCATGATATTAGCTTACAAGTGATGAGAGAGAAAAAAGAGAGGCAAAAAGAAATCTGTAAACGTTACTCTGGGTAACTGATGAGAAAAGGACACAAAAAAATATTGGGTTGAAGGGAAACGGTGATTTGAGTTGGTTTGTGAGATTTGAATATTTGTTGAATGACGTGACAAACTAGTTTGACAAACTAGTGCTGGGTTGTGAGATGAAATATAGGCTGGTTTGACAAACTGATTTGACGAAGGTGGACAATAAGACAAACTGATGGAATATAGATGGAATATAGGCTGGTTTGCAATAAGAAATAGAGGTTGAGGGAAAAAGAAGGAAAGGGAACGGTTGAGTGATTTTCTGGTGCTGGGTTTGTTGACGGTTGCTGTTGCGGAAGCGATTGCTAGGATTAGGTCAAGAGACAGTCATGATTGACTGCTCTGATACCATATCAGATTGGGTAAAAATAATATTTCATTCATATTGATATATAACAATAGAATGGTTATATATACATAGCCTAGGAAACTATTCTAGAAAAGTAATTATGTTCCTATAATCTTGTAGAATCAAATAGTTGACTTAGACTAATTAGGAATGTACAGCTCATTGACATGGTTGAGGGTTATCTGCCAGAATTGATTAAAACCCCTTTTTCTTCGCATTTAAAAATGAAAGATCCTTTGAGAATTTTTGCCACCCATTATTAAAAGAAAGAAACCCTACTCCAAAGCATTCCTTATAAATATAAGATAGGGTGAACAAAAGTTCACACACACTCAATTCATCAATCAAACAAACAAACAAAAAATCAACCAAAAGTTCACTTAAACCACAAGAGAAACCAGCTTTAGATCAGAATTCCCAAAGTTCAGACTTAGAAATATAAGTCATTCAAAATGAGATTCCTCTCGTTACAAATTTGGTTCAGCAAAAGCCAAAAACAAGCAGAGCTTGAGTTTTCACAAATATGAAAACCTCAACAAATTTTACAGAGCAGTTCCAGCTCACTAAGTCCTCAAGACCGGCCACTTCTGTCCCTTCAGACTAAAGAAGCAGCAGTTATGCCCGTTCAAAAGCCTCCCAAAGCTTGAAGTAGATTAAAGCTCTGCCAAAATTGAACTTTGGCATCGATTTACAGCTAAAGCTGAGCAGTTGAAGTTGTTAACAATTCAGTCCAGCATAGACATATTCAGTCCAGCCCGGATCAGAAGCTTCTATCCAAGCAGAAATGGAATTCCAACCTTCTTTTTATCTTTCTAGCGTTGATTTTTTCCTTCCAAGTCTTGTAAAGGGCAGTTCTGCCTAAAAACAGTCCTCTTAATCATCATTTATTCTGGCCAGAACTACCAATCTTATACTGTGATAAATTGTGAAGTCCTCACCAGTCTGAGGCAAGAAAAGAACTTACTTGGGAGATTTTCCTCACCCAAATTCACAATCACTTGTTTAGAAATTAGTAACTTGGGGCGCAAGTTATCCATTTTAAAGAAATCTACTAGGATTTTCAAGGCTAGCAGTGGCACGCTCGCACACCAAAGAAAACTGACTTGTTGACCAGTCAATGATTTCCAAGGCAGTGGGGAATTTTACCCTTCCATCACAGGAGCAAAAACCAAACGGTGAACAAACTCTTTTTTTTTAATAAAAATTTTAATTTATTTTAAGAACACACAAATATACAAGCAAGTTGCCAAATCAACACATGGTCCTTGTTGCTAAGGGATTCAACTAAAAAGAAGGCTTTGATTATGAAGAAACATTTAGTCCGATAGTCAAACTGGCCACTATTCGCACTATTTTATCTCTTGTTGTTTCTTATAATTGGTCACTTCAACAACTTGATGTTCGAAATGCTTTCTTGAATGAGTACTTGCAAGAAGAGGTGTACATGAAACAACCCCCTGGTTTTCATGATTCCTCTTAATCTTAGTATGTTTGTCGACTCCATAAGGCTCTTTATGGCCTTAAGTAGGCACCCCAGGCTTGGTTCCAAAGCCTTAGTACCTTTCTTCTTGCCCAGTGGGTTGTTCACAGTCACTATGACGCATTGGTATTTATTCGTCGCTCTTCTTCTTGCTCAGTATATGTTCTCATGTATGTGGATGATATAATTGTTACTGGGTCTACACCACGATACAATTTTTTTCTTGGAACGGAATTTAATTAGTTTCCTGACAATTTGTTTCTCTCTTAGACAAGATATGTGGTTCATTTATTGAGACGGTTTACTATGACTGAGTACAAACCATGTCCTACATCATTGCCTTCTGATGTGCGACTGTCTTGTATGGATGGTGATCCTTTGCCTAATCCGTCTAGAAGTGTGGTTGAGTTTGAGTTGCTTGAGATGGTGGAGCTTTCAAGTATTTTAGAGTTCATAGGTCAAATAGAGGAATTCATGAAAGGATTAAGAATGGTTAAAGATTTGAAGATTATTGGTCCTGAGGAGTTAACATCTTCATGGAAATTAAATGATGATAAATCAAAGCAACATCTAATATCTTTTTTCCTTGTCGTCATCAAATAAACATAACCTACCATTCTTCATTATGGCCTTGCTAGTGAATCTTAGGCTTTTGGTGCTTAAGTTTTCATGTATATTCTTCTTTGTATGTTGGTTCAGCATATATCAATTGAATAGAACTTAATGTTGGACCATGATGATCACTTTAACGTCTGCTTTCAAATTAATGAACAAACGCAACTCACATTGGATATATACAAGTTATATATCTCCAGCTCTTCTACAAAAACAAATCAACACAACACTAGAGTCTCACATCAAAAACTTATTAACAAACATAAAGACTTATAAGGCTATACACTATGCTTTATAAGTGTCTAGCCTAGTTACGTGGACTTGTAACTAAGTAAGGCATTAAAGTGATTGGTTGTATGAGGTTTGATCTAAGCCCTACGCCAACAGGGCAAACCCTACCCATCATGAGCAGTCAGCAACTAACAAATGATTATTATTGAAATGGAAGCTCATACGCGCGGCAATGGGTTGGATCGTGTCATGTTTGTGTCGTGTCGGGATAATAAACGTGTTAAGAATACTCAACCCAAACCCGACCCATTTAATAAACGTGTCGTGTCGAGTTCGGATCGTCTTAAGCAGGTTATTAAACAAGTTACCTGGTTAATAACCTGTTTACTTATTCCTAGTTTCCAATTTAAAAAGGGGAAACATTAAAAAGAGGAAACATGGGACTACATCAGGTTAATAAACATGTTATTTCACATTTAAAAAAAGAAATAAAAAAGAAACATAAGATTACATTAAATTAAAAACATTAAGGCGCGCTTCATGATTCCACAATAGGAGCCTTTAGTTTGGCCTTCTGGATCTCTTCTTTTGGATTTTCACACACAGCTTCTTGGGGCTCATCACTTGAGCTCCCAAAGATCACACCCTTAGCTTGAACATAACTTGTGTGGTGATCTCGATGCTTGCATTTACCTAGTTGATCCAGGGCCTCTAGCTGCTTTTGCATGTCTTGAGAGTAAAAATCTACCATCTTTGATAGCTTTTGATTCTCTTCATGCAATATTTCAAGCAGATGTCGATTCGCCTCCACCGTATTTTCCCTCTCCCTCTTCAAACTCCTTATCACACGCTGACAATCTTCAACCAAATCCGCTCTGCAACCAACTGAGCTTTTAGCACCTCTACCTCATAGGATTTCACAATAAGGCGATGCCCCACACTTGCAACAGATGCCGCACTTTGCACGCTCAGTGCCATGGCATCACTCACCACTCGGTTATTATCCCTCATTCCCAGCACACGCACATCCCTGGGAGTCACCAAACTCCTCGCAACTCCAACAGCAACATCGTTCTCAAGGAGTAAAGAGTGTCGTTTACGGTAACTAGTCTTCATGAGGAAACAAAGTAGGGCATCCACAATGTTGCAACCCCTTGCCCCCCTAGGGATGGCAATTTTCCTCTCGGGTAAGGGTCTTCGCGGGGATTCGACCCTAATGGGTCGGATATGAAGGACAAAAAACAGGTATGAGGATGGGTATGGGAAATTTTTTGGGTATGGTGTTTGGGGTGGGGCGGGGATGGTATTCTAATCCCCAACCCGAACCCTCCCCGTTTAGAATATATATATATATATATATATTATGGTATTAAAGTTATTGTATCGACTAAGTTTTATATTTTATATTATTATATTATATACTTATATAATTTATATAAATGTTAAGCCACACTACTTATTTATTTAGTTACTTCCAATACATATATAAACATTCTTATATTGTCTTATAAGTATATATTATATATTCATTATCTTGAATTAGTACTTTTTTTTTTCAACAAAGTAGCTATATGTTGGTTTTTTTTTTCCATAATAGGGCAGGTCGTAGACCAGGCAATATCAGACATGACCCGTTAACACGACACGAATTCGCACGCAAATAACAGTATTTGGGTTGAGCTTAATGGGTCGGGTTGAAAACGGGTGGACTCGATAGTCACCCGTTAAGCTAACGGGTTGGGTCAGTATTATTCGCGAATCACCCGTTAACTCGTTAAGAGCGAGGGCATTTTTGTAATTTCAATTCTAAAATTAACCTACCTTGAATTGGAGCCTTCTTGTCTGAGTCTGAGCATGCCGTCGTTCACTCTGTCATCTCTCTTTCTCTCTAGATCCAAACCAAACTATCAAGCATCAACTACCTTTCTTCTTCTTCTCCAACGAAAAGGTATGAAAATCTCAAGTCATTTGAGAGTTTTAATTGTTATCTATGCATTATATTAATACCAAAGTGAGTTGAAAGGATTGCTTTTTGATGGGAAAGCAGGGACTTCTTGTCATTATCATCCAAATCAATGCTCTCCACCAATCCATATTCTATGTCAATTTTGCTTTTCTTATTCCATTCAGCACTTTCGATTTTGAAACATGAACTTCGGAGTATTCTTCTCCTAAAAACTGGAACAATCTGTTTCCAGCTCTAGCAAGTGATGCAGCATTTTCTCTATCTGTTTCAATCTCTACAGAATTTGATGATCCTTTAGGATTTGTCTTAAAGCCATAAACATGCTAAGCCAAAATCCCAACTTCAGCATTTTCTACTTTCCTATTTTCTTTTTTTTAATTAATTTGTGGTGCTTTCATTTAATAATTTTTTGAAAAATATTGTTTATTTTTTAAATTGGTGAAACAGGTTAAGCGGGTGAAACGGGTGAAAAATGACCTATTAGCCATAATGGGTCGTGTCGTGTTATTCGCGAATTTGTACGGATCGTGTTTGGGTCTAGTATTTCTAACCCATTAGCTTAACGGGTCGTGTTCGTGTCAACCCGTTAAGAAAACAGGTTGACCAGAACACGACCCGTAACCCGTAAAAACGACCCGTTTGCCAGCTTTAGCAGGTCGGGGAACCCATTCCCCAACGAATGCAGGGATGGGGAATCGCTGATATGAATATTGCGGGTATGAAGGCGGGGATGGGGGAAAAAAGCTTAACGGGGATAGGGATGGGAATGCCATACCCAACCCCGATTCGACCCATTGCCATCTCTATGCCCCCCATGCCTGTGTTGGCAGAGCTAGGTTTAGATCGAGAGAAAATGGGAATGAAGAGGCCATTTTTTATCTGAGTTTAAGGAGATGGGTTTAGATTTTTCTGAGTTTGAGGAGATAGGTTTTCTATGTTTGAGTTTGATTTTTTTTCTCTCATTGTTTCCTTTTATATAAGTAATTTGCAGAGCCGCTCCATAATAATAATATTTTTTTTTTATAAATAATATGCAAGGCCGTTCCGTAATTTCCCCTCCTTCTTTCCCCCTCCCTATTTCCCACTCCCTATTTTCCACCTCAAGCTCCACATATTCGTGATTAGAAATATATATATAATTTTTAATTTTTAATATTTGATTTAATTACTATATATGATAATTTTAATTTAATTAAGTGTATCATTTTTATTTTTATTTAATTAGAAAGAAAAAAAGACATGTGAAATTCTACGTTTTTTTATAAACAGCTTGAAGAAAGATTATAAATATCAAATTGTGTCTCAGTGTAGAAACATGAGTCATAGATGAAGGCCCTTGGCTCGAGGAGGGCTTAGTGCCTCACTCAACCCCACGTCTAACAATCAACTTTTTGTTTTGGTACTTTAAGCTATAATTTGTAGATTCCAAATTATGTTTCATGTAATTGAGGTAAACTTGGACTAGTTGATATTTCCAACATGTTTAGGCCCAAGTAAATATTTAAAAAGCCTCAAAGTATTTCATTCAAAATTTAAATCCAAGTTCCAACCTGAGTAGTTGATTTTTATACTTGGTTTATATATATATAGAGAGAGAGAGAGCTTCAGTTGAGGAATTCTTCAAATAAACTTATTTGAAGGACACCCTTGTAAGGCCCACTTCGTATTGTATTTTACTAATCCAAACAATCTATTTTGTAGATATTCATTCAAAGATCATCTCTATAAAATTAAAAAAACACTTGAATCCGATATTATTTGACCACTCAATTGAATTATTAAAATTTTAGTATTTTCTTGAAGCACCACTTTCATTGATTTTGTAGGACATAATTGGATGTCAAAACGGTTTTCGATTTGTTTAATTTTTTGCAATAATGATCTATGAATATAGACTTAAAAATAGACATTGTTTAGATCGTTGAAAAACAAATTAGTAAGGAACCCTAAAGGGTGTCCTCAATAGAAGGGGATTATGTATATACAGGGAACTTTGGTTGTATTTGAGGGATCCCTCAAATAAGTTATTTGAGGGACACTCTTGTAGGGCACACTCCTTATTGTATTTCACTAATCCAAACAGTCTATTTTGTATACAAAAAAAAAATCCTTGAATATCATTTGACCACTCAATTGAATTATTGAAATTTTAGTACTTTCTTGAAGCACCGTGTTCATTGATTTTGTAGTACACAATTAGATATCGAAACGGTTTCCAATTTGTCTAATTTTTTGCAAGGATGATCTATGAATGTATACTTAAAAAATAAATATTTGGATTGTTGAAAAAAATTTATAAGGGACCCTAAAGGTGTTCTCCAAATAAAATTATTTAAAGAATTCTTCATGGGGATATTCTCATGTGCGAATGTCCAGATACTTCATACTGTCCGGACTTGTTTTGTTTTTTTCCATGATGAGAATGAATGAATTTTTTCCATATTATTATCATTAAAAAAAATGCACTAAAGCATATAAACAACCCCCAAGTTCTATGTACAAGGCACCAATGAAGAAAAGCCCAATCTAGAGGTGATGCTTGACTTTTTGGTATTGCCAGAGCTTGGTTTCTATTGTACTAATACTAGAAAAAGTGCGAAAAGTGTCTGAGCTGATTTTATTAGCATAAAGAATGAAGAAAAAAAAATTAAGTCTGGACATTAGCAAAATAAGGACACCTGCATTAGAGAACAACTTATATATAGTTATTCTCTCATTTGAATGTTTGCACGTTATTATTGTGCAAATATCATTGTAAATATAGATGAAAACAGGGAGTGATAATCGAAAATTCACAACGTCTATACAATAATAACGTCCAAACGTCCGCATAGAAAAATTTAGGTATTTTTAAATAGGGCTTGTCCAATATAGATCCATACATTTTCTATTTCTTAGACATATACCCATCACTCTATAAATCTATGTGTAAAACCCAATTTCAAATTTAAATGACCAGTAGAATATAAGAGGTCGTAGTATTTCTATGTTTTTACATCGTTGCCACTAAACTTCATATTTTATTTATAATTTATTTCAAACATTTCATTAACTGTCATAATTGTAATTAATATACTCCCTATTAATAGCATATCAATCACCCCATTTCTTATAGTTGTCATTCCCTCTCACATCTCGCCCCCTAAAATTGCAAACAAAAAAAAATCTGTAAATTACATATCCAATAATGTACTTATGAAAATTATAATATAAATATATACATATAAAATATAGGTATCCAATAAATTACATATCCAATAATGTACCTATGAAAAATAGGTACATTATTAGAGGAAAAAAATAGGTAAGTTATTTGGAGAGAGAAAATAGGTTCATTTAAAAAAATTACTTTTAATAAAACAAATAATAGGTACTTTATTCAAAGAAAAAAGGCTATATTATTTATAGAAAAAAATAAATTACATTATTTAGATAAAAAATAGGTACATTATTTAGATAAATAATAGGTACTTTATTCGTAGTAGGTATATTATTCAAATGGTAGGTACATTGGATGACATATAATACCTAAATCCTAATTGTAAGTACATTAAAATTAATGTAGGTATATTGGATGTCGTATAATGTAGGTATATTGGAATAGATAATTATGTACACTTTTCATACTAGGTAAATTATATTTTTCATAAAACAAACAAGTAATAGGTACATTATTTTTTCAACATAATTAGTATGTATAGTTTTATTCATAAACAATTATAAAGTGGATTATTAGTCATGTATAATTCATAAAAAGAAAATAACATAAACATTTTATTAAACAAACCGATTACCCAAATTTGAATTTATTGTTAAATTTTTTTATAAAATGTTTCAAAATTAATTCCTACATCCATTACAACCATTTGGAGATCTTTTCAAATTCAACATCTGTCATTATATACAATCCAATTAAAAATTGTTTCCATATTGATTCCTACATTAATATACAAAATGCAATAATGGCTTAGTTGGGGGTATTTTTGGAATCTAAAAAGTACAATAAATCAGATTTTATGCTTAATTAAGTAACTTGCTGAATTGAATCCTAGTCATGGGTTTTTACTTATACAAATTGGGTATTATTTATAGGAACAAAAAGTGAAGGGTTTTAGGTACGGCAAATTGAATTTGAATGGTGTAAGCCAAATTTACTATTTTAAATATAGGATCATGATCGTGAGACACATTTTGACACACATTTTAGATTATTGAAACACTTTGAACAGTTGAGATTGCATCTGACTTATACATTTATTTATTTTTTTCAAAACAATGAATATCTTTGGAAATATAATACTAGAAAGTCGGAAACATTTATTAAAGTTTCTCATATTATCTCTCATCTCTCGCTCACTCAAAACCCAGGAAGGAAAAAATATACTGGAGGCACGAAGGCCTCTCTCTCTCTCTCTCTCTCTCTCTACTACTACTACTACCTGTGCATCTCTTCATCTTCTCTCTTCCTCATTAGAACCACACCGAAAACATAGATTTTGAGATTAAAATTGATTGGCTTCTGGACATGAATTGTATGAGTTTCAGAGTGACATGAATGGACTTGCACACTTTCTTCCGTCAGAGATGTTTTTATATCTTACATCTTGTTTGCTATCATCTCGGACTGTACAAGAAGCTAAGGATTGAATGTCGCCAGTGTTATGTTATTGGGTGTTGTCAATGATGCAATCTCAACCATTGAATGTTATTTAATCCAACAGTCTAGAATGTGAGTCATGTTTAAGTACATGTTTGGCCAATTTATGGTCCACATATATTTGTTAATTAAATATCCCTGCCAATAGATGGTCAATATAAGAATTATTTCATGAATAATTCTACATGTATTTACTTGACGTGAAAAGCAAGTAAGATCAGCTTAATTGATCCTGATCCATTTTCATCATAACCTAATAGGAGAAGGTTTTTCTAGGGAGATTAGGGTTACGAGCTGTTATAGATCTCTACAAGCTCAACGACACACAACTCTTCAACAAACTCTACACTAAAGCCAACGCTTTTAGTCAAAGACACTCGTGTCTCTTTGCTATTTGCTATACCAAGCCTCCTTGGTATCGATTGCCAATTGACTCCTTCAGTTTAGGACCATTCTGGTGGAGCTCTTGCCCTGTTATGATCCATCAAAACCACAGTTCTGATCCTTCGATTGTCACATGTCGCTTAGTTCTTTTTTGAATCAGAATTGATACAAGGTAAAGAGTCAATCCTACATTGGAAATTTGAGAAACCTAATAAGAGCTTATAAGGAGTTGGGCTACTCCTCCTATTGCCAATTGATTTTGGGGTAGAACCTCAACTTCCTTCATGGTATCAGAGCAAGGCTTCACATATTGGACCCAACGGCCATACGTGTGACGAACTTTGAAGCCTAACACGTGGACAACACATATTAAGTATCCCCGATTTGAATATTGCAAGTATGAAGGCGGGAATGGAGGGAAAATGCTTAACGGAAATGAGGATGTAAATGACATACCCACCCACCACCAATTCGACCCATTGCCATCCCTATTCCCAATTTTAAAAATATTTTTTACTAAAATGAAACAAGCCTACTTATTGATAAAATTATACAATAGTACTGTACAAAACTTTGCAAAACTCTCTTTGGCTCTCTCTGAGAAGCCATGGCCATGGGTGTTCTCGTTCAATCCACTGCGCATTGTTCTTATATTAACTACCATAATTTCTTTAACATCAAAAACATTGTCAAAAGTTCTCGTGTTGTTAATATCTACCGTATAATTTCTCCTATTTATGTTAGGACGAACGTAATAATAACTCACATGATTAACATTCCTGCCATTTAAGGAAATTTTGACCAAAAAATGATACAATAATTTCTATTGCCAGCATAAATATATAGAAAAAATAATTACTAGAGAAAACTATGGACAAACCTTCCCTTTATACAAACAGATCAACTATGGAAAATGAATTCTACAATTACAGGGGCTATATGTATATATGAATATATATATATTTATAGCAACTGTACGCTATCCACAGGGTAAGACGAATTTGAAGCAGCCAGGAGAGCTGCTCCCATGGCTGATCCATCTTCAGTGACCTTGATTATGACATGTTGGGCAATATCTTCCCCTAATATTTCAGTCAATGCTTCATGTAAGTAGTCTCTAAACATTGTATAACCTGTATACAAACCCCCCTCCATTGCCACAACCGTCCTCCTCATTTTCTGATCACTTCTACTTCTTCCACCTGCGATTCCACCACTCCCATCCCGACCAATCTTCTTCAAGATCCCCACAATACCAGCAGCTGCCAATCGAGCAGCCCTACGGGTCACAACATCACACACCTTGACTATGAGCTTTCGAACCTTCAGAGGAACATCCGGAATCTGAAACGGCCAGGTCAGTAAAAATCATATTATTAGAAAATTGAAAGCCTTGAGAGACAAAGAATCAATACAAAAGACGTATGCCTTGTCTACCTCCAGGTTATCTCTTAAGATACGTCGTACTTCTTCCAAGTCAGGAGAGTCATCTTCATGCATTGCAGCAATCAATGGTGTCCTGGAAATTGCACAGTAAAAACAGTTTTTAAGGTATGGGATGTACTTGTTCGCCAAAGCAACATTGACAATCAGCAATAAATAGTAATCTAAGAAGCACGGATACACTGGTTGAGGTGCGTATCCCGTATCTGATATGCTGGGGGATACGATATGCTGTGAATACGTTTGGATACGTGATGGATACGTATCCGAGTAAACGGATACGGTCAACAACAAAAAGATACACATATCTTACATTACAGATACAAGTATCCAATGTTTAGGATACGCGTATCAGAAAACGTCTCCACTTCTTCTTCTTTCAGATCTTCCTTCTTCTATATAAATAAGAAGCCCAGATCTTCCTTCTTCTTCATCCAGCAGTGCCCCCACTCATCAATTCTTCTTCTTCATCCTTAAGAAGCCCAGATCTTCCTTTTTCTTCTTCATCCAGCGGCACCCCTACTCATCAATTTCTTCTTCTTCATTCTTCATTGTCGGCGGCGTCGGGTTCTCTTCTCCATTTTCATTTGTTTTCTCACGCGTGCTTCTCTGTTCTTTTGACAAAATTATTTTGTTTGTTTTTTTTTGGTCAAAGGATTTTGTTTGTTTAATACTCACAGTTTCACCCACACCCCATGTGATGGCTGGTCTTATCATTTTGATAAAAGGATTTTGTTTTGTTTGTCTTATTAAAAGTAATAATATTATAACCAAGACAAGTGGAAGTATGTTAAAAGTAATAATATTATCATTTTTATGTTATTTAAAATATGATTTAATTATATATATATTGTTATTTTTAAATTTTTATATATTTTTTAAATTGCCATATCCACGACATATCGTATCCTAATTTTTGGAAATTTATCGTATCCCCGTGTCATGTCGTGTCGTATCGTATCCCCGTATCCATATCCGTGTCCGTGCTTCTTAGATAGTAATTGATAAGTAACCTCAAGTTGAACATCTCAACATTAACTATTTTTCATAATGCCATTTTGCATTCAGCCAATCAAAAACTATCACCATCAGCAGATGGCTTGATGAGCATGCCCAGCAAGTGCATCAGAAAGAGAGACAGAGACAGAGACAGAGAGAGCATACCTCAAAATAAAAGGCATTGATAACTTGGAAGAAATAGGGTCAAAAATATCTGACTCCTGTGACATTCTGACAATCACTCTCCTCACAACATCACCTAGGTACATTCCTGATATCAATTTCTCAAAACCCTGTTGAAAAATGCTTTACATAATGAGATTAATAAAACTTCATATTTGATTAAGCATCGGCACAATCAAGCAACAACAGAGCAATAAATGAATCTTACCTGATCATTCGGATTGGGGCTATCAGCATCTAATTCAATATCATACAGAGTCCTTGGTAAATGAGATGACCAAAAATTTCCCCATTCCATGTTGACAACCTAACAAAAAATATATATATTATTCTTAAATTACGACTTCATGTCAAGAGATATTAAAAAAACATCATCTCGTCATGGTAAAAAATTAGATATATAGATATATGTATGTATATCTGAAGGGAGACAAGATAATGGATACCATGCCTCCAGATGTTGTAAGAAGCCCTTGAGACTTAATTATAGCATCTGTCCTTTCCAAATAACAGGCATTAGTACCCGTTCCAATTATCACTGCAGCAACAGTGTCTGTGTCATGATAATGTCCAAGTGCTAATGATCCCACAGAGTCATTGACCTGCGTAAACAAACAGAGAAATCATGTACCCAAATTTCACAACCAAAAAAAGCAAATGCAGAATCACACAAATGAGTGTACAGGGGACACATGCACACAAAAGTTGCGTTGCAGTTCTTGACAAATAAAAAGGATAATTCATTCACAGAATATCATCGTGTATCTCCATCAAGTCATTAATAAATAAATAAAATTCAGATTTCCAGTCACAAGTTAAAATGAAAAAATTTACTGGATTAAGAGTTACATCAGAAATGAATCCCTTATCTTTTACTATTATAAACCAATTAATGGTTTTCATTAGATTAATTGATTTTCCCTAAAAACAAGAGTGTAGCACCACTAACTTTAATGCTAGGCTTGGTTTAGAAGTGACATTAAATAACCAACACAATACATGCAAGGAAGATAAGGCAATCATAAATATTGTACGGTGCATTATCCCAATGCAAATTAACTGCACAGCAAAATTTTCCACACCCACTCCTCTGGTGGCCTTCAGACATTGATTTATTGGAATCTAATATAGCATTTCACAACTATGCTGAAATAGTAGTGATTGGGGTTAGTATTTAAAGGCTATTATTAAGTAGAATATTACCTACTTTTCCCAGCACCCAAATAAAAATAAATGAAAGAGTTATGAGTAATATATGGATCTAGGAAAGCCATACATAGTAGAAAATGTGGTCCACAACCAATTAGAATTAAATTGATATATGTTGCTTATATAAGGTATCATGGCCATCTTACTGCCCACGACATTAATTTGTTTTGACTGCAATAAATCACAAACCTTGTTTTCCTTTATATTTAACAAAATATTGTTTCATAAAAGGTATCAGGGCCTTGTTACTAGCCATTTCATTAATTTGGTATAAGCATGCAATATCTCACAAATAATTTCCCTTTTAGATAAATCATGCCCTTGCTTCTTTTTATTAAAAAAAGGTACAAATTTTAACCTTAATCATCATAAAGATGAAATCCATATTTTAACCTTAATCAGCATCAAGATGAAATCCATACTATGCCAAGGCAAAAAAAGGAGGGGATTTTGGCATGTGAATTCTGTTCTATTCTCACCCCACTTTCACACTTTGCCAAAGCATCCATATTTTGGCAGTCATAACTAAAACAATTCAAGAGTCCATGCATCTTTTCAATTTACCAACAGGTGTGTAGATTCAACGATAATACTACTAAAAATCATATGTAAGCACAAAGGAAAAAAAACTATAATTAAAAAAAATTAATGAAGTAATTGCAATGATAAGCTTGCTTCCTATGTGATTGAGGATTTACAGTACACCTATGACATAGTAGACACAATAATATGACTTTTCCCCATTCCGAACATTCCATTTTAAAAAGATCCCAGTAGGGATATGCAAGAAGCAATTAGCAATGTTACGTAAAGATGAGAAACGACTTTCTTACAAGTGCTGCAACCCTCATATTTAGGCCTTTCCTGGTCATTGCATTCTCTAAGCATTCTGCAATCTCTCTTCCAACCTGACAAAACATTGTAAACCACGCTTTTATCAGGAGAGCAGAGGAAAGTGGCAAGCTTTTCACACATTACTGCTTTTCTTAGTTGATGAAATAATAAAACATCAAGATGATTATCTGGTTTGGGCCACGCAGAATCAGCTTTCTGAGGTCATACACAAAGTCAAACTCAACCTAAAAAACTGAACCTCAACAGTTCATATACTACACCATAGAAGACTTGTTATGCATACTCGGGCATGCAAAAAAAACCTAGAGCTACCATTTTATTTAAGCATCAGCAAGGAAAAAAATATTCCAAGCAACTATGCTCTTGCCTTCACAAAGTTCCCTAAAATAGGTGAGTTTTATTGAAGTACAATTTAACGGACACCATACAACTAACCATGTCTTCAATGGAAAACCCTTTTGTCCATTTTAATAAAGTGCCTGATGACACGGACATTTGTTTCACGGGAAAAGAGAATGTGAATCCAAGCTCCCTTCTTCTGTCCAATGAAAGCTCAGAAATATCACCTTCTCTTTCAACGAACTCCTTTAATGATGAAGCAATAAAATCAAAAAGATCCTGCAAGCAATTGAAACACATCAGTTTCCATGACAGCAGCACATTGGAAGCTTTGAAGTATGTGCTAAACAATTACAGAAATCTGAAGGTACAAATTTAAGTCACCTCGCTTGAGCCAGTCATCAAATCTTGAGGAATTGCTTGTCGATATACATCATGTTCCAAGGTAGAGGACCTCGTGCCTTCTAGCTTAACCCGTAAGACCCTAAAATTAGTACCCCCAAGATCTAGCGCATAGTAAGTTCCTTTCTCACTCCTACCCCAAGAAATTAAAAGATAAAATAATTAGTCTCAACACTTGTTATCAAGAAAAAATACTTATAAAGAACGAAACGAATATGTACATAAGAAATGAACAAGCTGTCCACCAATACAAGAACTTTAAACACTATCAACCAGCTACTACATCAAATTTAAGCTAAAGAAAATGACAACATCCTGCCTACGTGCTCCCAAAGAAGAATGGTACGTCTTTAAACTCAACAGGAATCAAAGCCTATAAAGAGGTCAAAAATCAAGCTTTCTCCAACAAAGGATCCATACCCACCCCACCATACTTTTCAAAAATTCTTCTATTTCTTTATCCACACCACCCAAAATACAGCCATCACACTACAATCACAAAACACTTTCAACTTATTCTGCCAACCAAAAATTTCCAGAACTACCCAACACAGATTAGCTTCCTTACAAAATTTAAGCCATAGCTTTAATGCAATAAGGCAGTGAAGAACAAGTGATATAAACTTTCAGAATTCTCTTCCGTACTAACCAATGGGGAGAAAGACAGATAATTGACCCTCTTCTCTGAATCATATCACAAGCATTTCACCTAGCATGAGCAATAATTTATACCTTGGGGGATAGTTAGGCCTTCCAAATAAAAAAATTCAATCCTTATCTATTACACAACTTATACAAAGAAGGTATCTAACTGCATAATAATTTTACACTATACGACTGAATAAATAATGAAATTGCTGTCATGCTAAACCATGCGAATACAAAGTAGACAGTTTTGCACTCTTATTGTACACTAACCATCACCATTACCAAACTCATCTATAGAATACTTTTTCAAATGATAGACCCTTCAAAGGTAGTGGGGTCTCTGCTTATTTTAAAACAAGACATTGCATTAATCATTGCAAAACTGGATACATAATTTATCTAGACATAAAAGCGGGTAATAACACACTGAATGAGAAAAAATTGTAGAATAGGTTTTGTGCTAATACATAAACAAACAAAAAAAAAGTTGCGTTAATACAGAAAGAAAAAGTAAAATTATTATGAAAAAGGAGAACTAGAAATGAAAAAGAAAGTCCACGTGAAATCTAACACCGCACTCCTAAAGAATTTACTGTACTCATATTCAACATGAGAACAGAAAGAAATGGAAGAAAGAACTGTATATTGCAAAATTTTCAAGGAAAAAAAATATTCCCAGCAAAGTAGTGATATGATTGATTCATCATTGTCGAATGTCAAAACAACAGGGAACACTATAAAATTAAATAACTTACAACAATTGAAGGGCTCGGATATCAGTATAATCGAGAACAAAGGCAGAAACAAGACCAACATCCAACAATTCCAAAACGGCACCTTTTCTAATAAATTTAAACAAGGGCAGATCATAGAACTAAGGACAACACAAATCAGATGGCAAACGAAATGCACATAAAAGATGGGGAACGGAACTACAGTAACAAAAGATAAATTAAACAAGAATTATAACAGTGAGAGAAGCCCGCAAAAGAAACAGAAAAAAACTGTAACAAAACAACGAATCATCAGAACACGTAAGCAAAGACAATCCCCAAATATCAAATCAAAATCAAAAACATTAAAATGAAGTTACTTTCTTGCCCAAAATCAAATATAAATGATAAACCCATTAAACTCCAATGAGAAAACCCCATGAAATAACCACCCAAATTTTCATCAAGGAACAACATTTTCGCCTAAAACCACCAAAACAAAACCAAAACCCAGTTGAAGAAACAGATACAAGAAACTAAAAACGAAAAGGCCCATTAAAGAAAATCAAGTGAAGCATTAAAAGTTATTACCCATTGGGGAGTTTATCCACAAAAGTGAGTAACATTTTGAGCTTGGAGCCACCATCAGAAGCCAAACCTGCGTGCATCTCCACAGCCATAGCGTCCACGACCTGCCTCAACCTCCCCACTGTGGTTTCACAGCTCTGCTCGAGTTCCTTCAAAACCCCAACCACTCTTCTCCACTTCCGTCTGCTCCTTATTCTCCGACCGACCACCACCGTCGCCACCGCACACGCCGCTACCGCCACCCCAACTGCCAATCCCACCGCCACCTTCCCCATATCTCAAACTATCTACGCCCCCTATCCCAATTCAAAATCGCATCTCCAAACGGCGTCGTCTCGTCGGTCTTCCAGTGAAACGACACCGTGTCACCATGAACGCGTCCGGGTTTTGTGTCTTGAGGCCTTTCGTTGGCTTTTGATTATGAGTTTGTGAGTTCTCTATCACTATCACTGTCTCCAACGGTAAAAAGCAGGGGTTCAGAGGGTTCGAACAGTTTGAGTTTCTCGACGGAGAGTGGTCAGAGTTTGATCTCCGGTGTGTTTCCGGCGACGGTGACCGGAAAGGTAGTGCGGATGACCCGCTCGAGAAAAGGCGCTAGAGAGAGAGAGAGAGAGAGAGAGAGAGAGAGGCGCGTTGCGAAGGCAGTATTGTTGGAATGCGAAATGGTGGATACTTAAATAGTTGTCAAAATGACATAATTGCCCTTATGGATCATATGAAATGTCGGATTTGTCATAATATCCTGCGGCGATTTTTTACCGTTTGGGGGAAAAAGATCTTGTGGGATTTTTAGTGGGAAATCGAAGATTTCAGAAGATTTTTCACTCGTGTGTGAAATCTTTTCGGGTAGGGTGGGGTGATTTTGTTGGGTAAAAATTCATCATGATTCGTAAAAGATAGAGATGGATAGAGTTTTTTTTGTTTTTTTGGGGATGATAGATTATGAGCCGTCCAATTAGGGAGAGGAATAAGAGGCATGCTTTTGTGGCCTTTGAATTGATAAGTATGATGCAACTATGTATTGCTATAAGTGGAAATTTTGTGGGCATTATCATCTCATGTGATGTGATGACTAAGTTTAAGTATAGGAATGTCAATGTCTTCGGGTATGCTTAAATGTTTATTTCTACTTGTAAAGTTGTCAAAACATATATCCAAGGGTTGAGGTTTGCTTAGAAGAGCACCGAGTGTGTGAGTGTCATTACTATTATTTTGATATAAGCAATATTGGAGAAAGGGAATTCGAACACAGAATCTCGAGTGTATGAGTAAATACTCCTAACCACTTAAGCTATGAGTGTCATTACTATTATTTTGATATAAGCAATATTGGAGAAGGGGAATTCGAACACAGAACCTTGGGTGTAAGAGTAAATACTCCTAACCACTTAAGCTATAAGCTCATTCCATGGTTAATGTATGTTTTGACAACATGACAAGTGATGATATCCTTTTTGGAAAAAGCTTGGCTTCATAAAACTGAGAAGGAGCTCCCCCTTAAATTCAATGGAGTTTTGACGCTTGTCAAATTTCATTAACCTTTTATTTTTCTTTTGAATAACTTTTAACTTCTTTTTTTTCTTTTAGAATTTGACAAGTGTTAAAATCTCATATGTTGTGAGAATGAGCTCCTCCTCAGTTTTAAGGAGCCAAGCAAACTTAATCTTGAAATTATTAAATGAGTACTTTTGATGTTGCTATAATTGATGGATATCGATCGAATTGTCCTTATAGGAGATAAAATATAGTAATTAGTAAGAAATAAATGTAATACATGTGAATTATTTAGATATAATTCAAACGCATTAGGTTCAAATAAACATATGATCAAAGATTCCCTAAATAAAATATCATCAAAAAGACAAAAGGAAATAATTGACGTGAGATTATAGGATTATAAATCCAAAAAATTATGCCATAAAATCACAACCTCAACGTGCCAAACTAATTAATTCATGACAAAGGGGCATTTTTGGTAAACTAGAACGAAACCGCCCAAAATGCCACCCCATCACCAGGGCCAACAGACTGCATGAGGTACTAGGACCCAGTTGCCATATAGAGAAAGAAAAAGGGCAAAATCGAAATAAAAAAATGTGTAAGGAAGGGTTTTGGCCTCTCTCTCCAATTAAATATTTATTTATTTCCTACGAAAAAAGAAGTCTGGTTTGTGTGGGTTTGCTATATTCGGAGACAGCTGCGTTCTGAAAAGTGGAAACGGCGACGGTAGTTGCGTATACGCCGCCGTACATTTGCCAGCTGGCTCCCGCTAAGACCCAGCTAGCCTCACTGTAAAGCTACCACCTCACAACGAGTACTTCCTCACCGTTTTCCTCATTTCTTATATTATTTGTATTTTTGTTCCTCTGCCCAAAACTTCCCTTTTTTAAAAAAAAAATTTTATTATTATTATTAGCTCATAAATTATATTAAATTTTAATTCAATTTAAAATTAAAAAATTTAATTACGGCTTCATGAACAACCATGAGCGGCCCATGTATTTTCATGGTCACAGACTTGCTCCCAAACTCGATCACAATTATTACCTGATTTTGGATCTTTTAAGAGTTTTGGATTACAAAAATAAATACAGGGTTTTGTTCTCTAATTTTTTTTATCATGCAATAATAAATACAAGAACCCGAATTTCTTAATCATGAATCCTACAATAATTTTTTTATTTATCAAATAACAACTTCACTAGATAACTTTCAACAATACAACTAAGACATCAACTAGACATCCAAATCACCGAGCCTATAAGGGCAACAAAACTAATTACACGCTAAAAAGCAAAATCAAAGGAGACACATCAACAACTACTAGCCCCACATCACTACAATTAAGTATAATCTCAAATAAAGTTCATAAACCTAAAATAAGCAAAACCCTAAAATAACACATGAGCTTAAATGAACCCTACAGTCACCACCTGAAGAAGTACCACAGTCAACCTAGCCACTACATCTAGCATTTAAGCAAATGCAAAACCTCTTAAGATCTCAGGAAAACAAGGTTTCTAGCGATACAATTGTGCATAACAATGAACAACTATGTCAACCAAACAAACATGGCAAAAACCAATCAAGTAGATTGCAACAAACTCTCCTTCAAATGCAAGGTAGAATTAAATCTAGAGAATGTGAGAAGTTGTAGAGAGATAGTTTTGGGAGAATGATTTGACTGAGGAATTAGCTCAAAAGAGATGATGGGGAACTTCAAACTAAGCATCACTTAAAAGAAATCGCCGTTAGGGGCTTCTTATTCAAAAAGCCTCAATAGACTTATTCACTAACAAAAAAAAAGATAAGGAAGGAAGGACAATGATGCTTCTTCTTACTCCCTCCTCATTGAGTTTTTTCTTTGAGACTGAGAGAGTTGTTAGGGTCTTTTTTGAAAAACTAATTATGATATTGAAGAATGGTTTGTCAAATCCTACAATATTTGAAAATCAGTACTCCATCAAATGATCATGAAAATTGAAATTGAAATTAGTTTCTGAAAGCCTATACAATGCTGTTTCAAACCCCAAGGTTATTTTGATTAAAATAATAAAATAAAAAGGGTTTCTTGAAAACCTTTCCCCAAAGCTTGAATATTATTGAGGCTATAATTTGGTAACCCAAAAAAAAAGTGGAAATCTGACAAGAAAAAGGATTTTCAAGTGGTAAGGTGACACAAAATAATGGCCACGTGACTCTTTTTAAACAAAAATTCTAATAATCTTGACAATATGTGGCATTTTGACACAAAATCTAGTTTATATGGTAGTTTTTTTTGTTGTTGAGAAATTATGAGAATGCATCCTTAATTCAACCAACAAAGGGCCAATACAAACTAGTTACAACGAGCCATTATAATAACTAAGCGATCTAACATTAAAATTAAGATAATTTGGGGCTCCTCCACTAATGATCATGCATGATCGAAGAAACTCTGGTATAAGCATTCCAACTAAGAGTACAAACTCATAACAACCAAAAAGAGATAAAGCTTAAAAAAATCAAGTCATAACAATACAAATAAAACTCTCACAAAGGAGACGTGGAAAGCTCTCACAAAGAAGAGGTGGATGGAAAGCTCTCATAAAGGATAGGTGAAAAACTCTTACAAAAAGAGATGTGAAAAATACACATGAAACTCAAAGAGTCTCTACGACTTATTCCAAACATAAAAAAACCTAGAAAAGAATAGTGGTAGAGATTTGACATTGAAACGCATGTGGAGATTCGACGCTGAAACACATCAGCCTGTGATGAGTGGAGGAAAATCATTACAAAACGAAGACATATAGGGGAAACCTTTTATCTCTGAAAATGAGGGGAAAGATAAGAAAAAAGGAAGGGAGAATTCTTCCTCCCCCCTCAAAGTGAAAACACTTGTAGATGGTTTTTTGGCAGAGATGAGGCTAGGGTTTTCAAGAAAAAGGTGGTCTAGTAGTGTCAGATGGAGTAAATAATCAACACCACATTTGTGTAAATTTAATTAGTACATAGCCCAATATTACTTTTCTTTTAAATATTGGAATAAGTTTTAAATTCGAATTTTTCTTCTTTAATAATTAAAAAAAATGTAAATTTCCAATATTATGTTTTTTGTTGTCGTTGTTAAAAGACTTAAATATTTAATTAGAAATCACAAGAACCAAAAAAAAACAGAAAATGAAGAAGAGTGCTCAAGTTTAAAATTACGCTATTGTTCCCGTTTCTCAAGTTTAAAATTCTTTTCCACACACCAAAAATAAAATAGAAATAAACGATAACATTAAATTGAAGCCACATTTATTAGCGCAAATAACTGCTCGTGACCGACGCTATTGCGGCTCGATTTTATCGAATGTCACGAGATTTTGCTTGTGTCGCGTTATTTGCTGAGATCTTCTAGTCGATCTTGACGGTACAGGTTGTTGGGTCAAATTAATAAACGATCAGGACCGCACATTCATTTTCTGTTTATGGGACAACGGTACTGGTTGACTATTCAATAAAAGAAAACGAGTGCCCTTTACACTTTTAAGGCACGTGCTCAATATATATATTTTTTAATCGGTCAATAATTAAAAAGATTTCATAAAGTGTTGGGGTCGGTGCCTACTAAATATCCACTAAATAGTAAAACCAAATTACTAATGCTAATTGCGCGTCAACTTTTTGACCTGATGTATATTTTGACCAAATAAAAAAGCCATAATCATTTTTTTTTGGGAACAAGCACTAAACGCATAGTATCATGATGTTATGAGATTCGAACCTGAGACAACTAGTTTACATGTCA